GGGTGGGGAGAGAAAGCTCTTCCATGATGTAGGATTTCAACATTCTTCACCAGTTTAAACTTAGAACTGAAAATAGTTTTTCCCCTCTAAGGGATTAGTCACTATGTGACAACATAGCTATCTGTACAGGAGACATTTTAATGGGAACTGCAATGGTTTGTTTGCCATTTTATAAAACAGTGCTAAAGGACTGCCATTTCACAGGTGGTGAATTCAATCTCAGACCATGAGCATAAGATATGGGAATATTCCTCACACATAACATAGCTTGGACTCATACTATTCTGTAGTTACAGAATTAATACAGTATAAAACGAAAGGATTCCTGAAAAGCAAATGTTGACGATACAGCGTAACAATTAATCCTCGGCAGTTTTGCTAGCCTAACCAATTTAGAACACTGTTCCTAACTGTAGCGTTCACATTGTCCAGTGTGTAGACCCAATTAATGACAGATCCATTTATATATACACATACAGGATATACAAGCTCTAAAAATGTCCTTTCGTTTGCTTAAGAAGCAGCATAGCATGGAAAGAGAATTGAACTCAGTGTTAGTAGAAATCTGGATTTGAATACCATCTCTGACACTGAGTAAGAGTGTAGGCAAAGTTCCTAAACTTGTCTATACCCAGTTTCTTCATCTGTGAAATGAGATCATATCTCACCAAGTTAAATGAATTAACATATCTATTGCTGGATTCTGACCAAGAAGGCAACTTGTACAGAAATGCTGCGGCAGCCCAGTTACCACTCTTCCAGCAAAACTCAATGACAAACCAGAGTTAAAATAACCTCATCCATCCCAGAACTGCACAGTCATTTAAAAAGGGCCATAGGCAATAGGATAGGCACCTGCTAGCAAACAAGTACAACACAGACAAACAATCCACCAGCATCCCACTACCTGAAGACAACCCCTCCCCACCCAAGTCTGCAAAGCTCTGTATTCAGAGGCAGCAAGAGTAAGGGCTCATGTGAGAAAGCCCCATGAATAGTAAGAAGCCCACAGTGGTCACCTTGGGAATGACCAGCATAGTATAGCAGTGCTCAGGCTGGGACATTCCAGGCCTAGGGGTTTGAGATCTCTAGCACTGTGTCCTGAAATGCCAAAAAGGGCCCTGAAGAGCAAGAGCTCTGTGGAGGAGCCTAATCCTGAGAGGCAGAGGTCAGCCGAAGAACACAGGTGACCTAGATCAAGATCAGGCAAGGCTGAGAATCCCACCAAAAAAGCAGAAGGGGCAGAGTCTGGCTCTAGCACAAAGCCCCAACTCAACAAGGGGTGCACAGAGGAGTAAATGAAAGAAGGTGCTAACTATACTACAAAGGATTGTCATAGGTCCTGGAATACTCCCAAATCTAATAAATAATATGAATGAAGAATAAAGACTATGAATAAAGACTAACTTCACAACTGTAAGCAGAAACTAAAATATAAAAAATAGATTTTCTACAAGGAGTATGTGAATACTTGGAAGAAATGAAGCAAGAGTTAAAAAATGAAAATAAAGGATCTGGTAAAAAGAACTGGAAGAAGAATCAATAGCTTAGAAAAGAAAGTGGTAAACCTTATTGGACACCCTGAAAATCAAAACAGACCAAATAGAAATGACTTTATGAAGAAAGAAATATTAAAACAAAATCAAAATACTGAAAAATAGAAGAAAATATAAGACATTTGCTATTAAAAAAACTGAGTTGTAAAAGAAGTAAAGGAGAGATAATTGAAGAATCATTACACTCAGCTGAGTGTGGTGGTGCATATGTTTAGTTGTAGCTACTAGGAAGGCTGAGGTTGACAGATCATGGCTTGAGCTTCGGTGTGCTGAACTTCAGTAGCACTAAAAGCTAATTGAGTGCCTGCTCTAAGTCTCTATCATAGGGTGATCCTCATCAGGTCTGCCTGAGTGGGTGAGACAACCCAGATTCGAAATGGTGCTGCTGAAACTTTTGGGCCAATTAGCAATGGGACTGCCCCACTAAGTGTCTGCTTCACCTCTAGCATGGGCAAGATAGGGAGATGGAGTATTAAAAAAAGAGAATCACCAGACTCCATGATTTTTTAAAAAAAATTGCCTTCACATGATATTTCAAAAAATCATAAAAAACTACCCAAATCATTTAAAAAGAGAAGATAAAACGAGAACAGAGAAGAATCCACCAATTTCCTCTTAAAAAAATAAATGAAAAAAATGAAAAAGACCCAGGAATTTCAAAGCCAAAATCCAAAGTTCTGATGTTGGAAAAAATGATTAAAAATAAACTTCAAGCAGCCAGATAGCAGTTCAAACACCATGGAACCAGTCAGGATCACACAAGATCTGTGAACTTCTACTAAAAAAGAGAGATCATAGAATACAATATTCCAAAAGGCAAAAGGGACAGGCTTACAACCAAAAATGACTTACCTCGAAAAACTGATTAACATTTTTTGAGGGGGAAAAACAGACCTTTATTGGAATAGAGGACTTTGAAGCATTTCTAATGAAAAGACCAGAGCTGAGTAAAAATTTTAAAGCACAAACACAAGAGTTCAGAGAAACCTAGAAGGGTAAATTTATCAAGCAATAGGATGAGGAAGAATATAATAGGAGGTTACCAAAAAGAATTAAATAAGATAGAGGACCTGGAGATTAATTGGTTTTGTTATGGTCTTATAGGGAGGAACAAAATTGGAAGATAAAAGTTTTACTGTAGAAGGAAGAAAAAGGCTATAGAATTATTATTTCTCAAAATTGGGATGCATAAGAAAAGTATAAAAACACAGAAGAAGGTGGCGGAGGGAGCAGTCATCAAATGAGCATTTTTTTTTTTGGCTAGGCAATAGGGTTAAGTGATTTGCCCAGGGTCACAATAGCTAGTAAGTGTCAAGTGTCTGAGACTGCATTTGAACTCAGGTCCTTCTGACTTTGGGGTTGGTGCTCTCTCCACTGCGCCACCTAGCTGCCCCCAAATGAACATTCTTATCGGAACAAGACAGAAAGGAAAAGGGAGAGAGATGGAGAGAATGCCATTGAGGGAACAGCTGCAAGCAAAACATTCTCCTTCAGAGAATAGATTCCAAACAAAGGATTGGGGGGGAGAGAGAAAAGAAGTGAAAATTAAAGGTCTGCCTGTCAATTGAGGAAGGAGCCACAAATTGTGGTATGGTAGCAGGACATAGTTGCATTGTGAGATTTATGAGAGAGATTTTCAGAGAAATTTGGACTGTTACGAATGGGTACAGAATCAAATTATCAAATAAGCATGACTAAGACAACTTATTCAATAACAACATGATAAAGAAAAACTACTTTGAAAGAATTAACTCTGATCATAGCTGTGGCAAACCATGACTCTAGACTAGAAGCACTAAAAGGTGATGGACTCAAGGTGCAGATGAAGGAGAGGAGGAGGAGGCGGAGGCCATTGCAGTATGTTTTTTTAAACGCACAAAGGAAAACAAGTTCAGAAGGAAGCTCTGAAAGTAGTATATTAAAATCATTATATATATATTTTTAAAATGCAAATTATATGAAGTAGAGATTTGTAGTTTCATGTACAATCTTTTTATGTTCTACTTTGTACATGGAAGTGCTCATTTTAAGTTTAGAATAAGATTGAAATATAATGTAATGTGTTATGTTAGCTATTATTATTCATATCCAATAGTTAAATGGTATGACTTCAATCATTAGGTTATGAGATGACTAATAATGCAGTGTTAAGAGTTTCTGTTTTCTCAGTAACACAAATTAATCGCAGCAGTTTCAAGAGAAATGTTAAACTCTTTTGTGGCTAGTGTTCCTTTATCCTTTCAAGGAAAATAAAAAGTTGAGACCCACAATTTATGATTACTACCAATAAAAACAAATTCTCTCAATGACAAGGTATTTAGTAACTTAAAGCTTTTATTATTATTTTTTAAAGAGCTAAGAGGAACATGAGATCAACTAGCCCAGCCTCCTTATCTTAGAGGAGAAACTTATACCTTTATACCTCTACCACTATAGGGAGGGAAAGTGACCTATGCATGATGACACTGGTAACCAGTGGCAGAAGTGGCACGAGCCTCAGCATGTATAAGAAGAGTTGTCTCCCAAACATAAAACAACAGCTTGATAGGCTTTAATTACTACATTAAAAACAACTTCATTTTTAAAACTTTATTGATTTGCCACCTGATTAAAGCATGGAATATTTTAACAATATTATACATAATATTTTTACATAGAAAACTTTACATAGCATTTCATATTATATAATTCTGCTCATTCTTTCAAAAATGTATACATCCATTGAGAAAGGAATGCTTTTCATTAAATTACCAATATTAAATGCACTTAATTATAGCATGTAGATTAAACCAAAGTAGCTATTCAACTAATTTTAGGCATTTTAAGTAGGTAAAACATACATTTTGCACATGAAATACATTTGATTCAATATGCAGAGAAGTCTTTTTAAAAATCAGAACATTGAGAAAACAACATCTTTGATCAGTATTGAATTTTTTTGACCAAAGGTGGCTAGCCATAGTCATTCTTTAAAATGCTCAGTTTTTATTTTTAAACTTCAAAGTTTCTGATGGAAAAAACAGATTTGAATTTAAACAATATCTATCTTAAAACATTAATGGAAAAATACATATTTAGGATCCACCTTAAATTTAAAACATATCCATTTGCATCATAACAACAAACACTAGAAATGAATGACAGATGGACACTCATGGGTTGAACTTCGTCAGAAAGCTATTTTAGCATTTTTTTCAGATTATTTTTGAGGGCTGTAGCCATCATCAAAATGTTTTTTAAAAAGTTTAGATTATTTTCATTGTGCAAAAGTTAACCTTTTACCTAAATATTATGACCTTTTTTCAACACTAGAATATAATACTCATAACGCATATTCTTTGGTTATGTGGGTGTACAGGGATGGGAAAGGGAGCAGTAGGATATTTTATCAGAAAAAAAATTCTGTCTAGAAATGTCCAATTTCCCTTCCTAGGTTTATCATCATGATGCCCATGGCTGTATAGTTCCCCATTTCACAATGAAGAAAAAACAGAACTGGTGTATGAAACACTGACATTTTAAAGAATATCATTGTCTAGAGACACAATCAACATTTAAAGCACTGTGAAAAAGAAGGTTGTGAGCTCTTCATCCCTACTCTACTGCTTTACTGAATGGCAATCTTCACCAAAACCAGACACCCAAATATCAATTTAGTCAATTTTTGAACAACAGAGATTATAATGTCAACTCTTAAGGAAGTAATCTAAGGAGAAGAATAAATTTATTCAAGAATCAGGCTGTGCTTAATAGCTTACTACCAGAGGCTAAGTGCTCTTGATAGCACTTTTCCAACCCAGCATCATGAAAACTGCTCTAGATGACTTTATATCAAGCTTTTTTAAAAGGAGTATCGCCAGTAAAACTAGAATGTTACACTGAAAAAAAGGTTTTCCTTAGAATGATTTAAAAAAATAAATTCAAGCTTAAATATTCAAAGGGATAGCCTTGCAAAGCTGCCCCAGACTTCTGAGAAGGGAAATCTTGTGGTTATTCACGAGCAGGTGTTTGAAGAGTAACACAGGAATAGCTTATAGAATGATGCCTTGGCCAATAGCATCTGACAACAGCAATAGCAATACATTATAACCAAACCCCATCTAACATCAGGACATTCTGGTTACTGTTGGGTTGACTGCTCATCTATAACCTGGCTTTTGTGGAACTACCTGCCTCCTACATAAGGTGATTTTGCCTAATATTGTGTTTTCAAGGAATAAACTGGAGGCAATGGAAGCATGTGGCTAATACAACTGAAAATTCATACGGTTCACATTTGGTGAAACAATGGCACACTAAAACACACACACAAAGGTATCTCCATGCAAAAGAGGCAGCCATTATGGGGACTAGAATGCACATGGATAAAGATGCTCGGTTTTTCTGGCTATACTAAGAATAAACAAATATCAACAGAAACTGCTGACATACATATATATATAATCTCTCTCTCTCTCTCTAACAACAGCATCAGGGAATGAGTCTTTGTACTAAGTTGGATGTTGCTAGGTAAAGAAGCAATGACTTCAAACATAAATACATTAGAGGCTACATTTAAAAAATATTTGAATTATGGTAAAATATACTTATTTATTCCTTTCTACTGAATTCAACTTTCTTATGTGCATTTAGTAACTTAAAGGCCCCAAATTCCTTTATTTCTTTGGTAATAAAATTAAACTCTCTTAGGGGATAGGAAGAAAGAACCCGATATAGAATTCTGCTGGCCAAAGCCTGCTGGTCAAGGCTGTAAAAAAAAAAGGATTAGTGAGAACTTTTATTAACAAAAGCACCAGGAGTCTTACTCAAAAAAGAAGCCTAAATTCATCGATCCACAAACTGGTTTCCCAAGATATCAACCTCTAGAGCCCCAGAAACTTATATTAATTAAAACTCAACTAAAAGGATCAGAGGGCATAGTTAGAAAAAAATATATTTTAATAATTGTGAATAATACTTTTTATAATTCTCAGTGCTGCTAGATGCAGCTGATGAAAGGGCTCAGATTGCACAGAGTAAGGATTTCATTTTCCTTGCCTATTACACATTAAGCTTGTGACCTTCTCATGATGCAGTATGTAGATTACGGGCTTTTGACCACATTTTTACAAACAGAAAACTGTTTTTAGACCATTACATCTATAGTTCAGGCATACCGCAGTTAGGTTATTGCACTGTCAGCAGTCTGATGAGAATTCTAGAGCCTATTCTAAAGTGTGTCACCAGGGGTGATTAACTGCAGTGCATGATCCTGTTTTCTGGCTGTCCTAACATTTTGACATGTGCTCACTTCACTTTAAGCACACTGACTTTGGAGAGTAGAAATCAGTGTGATGTCTGAGGCCTCTCTCCCCCAAAGTCACTACTAACAGGTCCTGCAAAGCTGTGGTATTAACAGTGGGGCACACTTTCGGTTCTGTAACAAAAATAAAAATGCCCTGAAATATTTATTGTTCAAATATAAATTAACTCTGTAGACATCTTCACTATTACTTAATATACTATATTTAAGAGGGAATAGATTGGACAACAAATTCTGGAAATGTTTTTTAACTTTCCATATATTCTTACTTCAGTTTGAGCAATTTCCCTCAGATGTTTGCCTTCTTTGATGGCTTAGCTCTAAGGTATTTAATACATAGGGAGGTAGGAGGCATTCACTACAGTCACTGTTACCACCCAATCTTAACCGTAGCACATTTAAACTTTTGATAAAAGCCGTTCATAAAATACTTTTAAAAACTCTCAGACAGCAAGAGGTAAACCTCCTTTCCCCCTACTTTCTACAAACTGGGCTAACAATAGCTGATCCAAAGCTAACACATACCCAACCTGATCTAGCTTAGTGTACACTCAAAGAACAACAACAAAAAAATCCAGCCTAGTTTTTAGGTGGCAGTGAGCCATTACAATATATTTTATTAACACACTCTCTAAACAGCACAAACCTATACAAGTATATTCAGTATTTTCAAAGATAGAAATTCTCTCGATAAATCATTTACAACCAATTAAGTGAATTAGATAGAAAATGACAGCATCTTTCAATGACAGATTTGACAGACTTGAATCAGCAAACAGGAACAGAATGACGGGGTGAAACAAACAGACTTCAATTTGACTATTAACTCAGTATGCAACAATTTAAATCAAATATTACCAACCCTTAGTTAAGCTACTTTTATGAGATGCTCCTTGTTGGCCAGAGTAGGATGGACACTTTCCCAAACCACAGTTCGAAATGCAAAATGCTGCTTCCTTGGTTTTCACAGTAAAGCACCAATGAGCATTTCTCCTCTTGTGAACAGAGGCATTACCAAAGCTTGGCAGAGGGTCAGCAATGACCAATCTTGCTTGGAGCTACCAGGCTGGCAGCTGTGTCCCTGTTAGCTGTAATGGCTCTTTTGGAATCCATATTTTGTACACGGCACCTATACGGAGGAAAAACTTCCGCAGAACAGCTCGAAGCTCAGGGATCAGGTCAAACTGCATAATTTCACATAGATAGGGGTAATACATGGAAGCATGTGCTTTAAACTGGAAAGAGAAAAAAGCCCTTGTGAATCATATAAAATTAGATGAGGAGCTCATCATTTACAGAATTACAGATAAGATTTGTCTTTTCCTAACATTCACTGATAACATTTTCAGTAAGTATCTGATAACAATCATTCACTAGAATCTGCATTCAGCTTTAGAACCAATTCCTCACAAATGTATCAGAAAACTTTATCTTCACTGGGAAACTGTATTATTGGTATTTTTTACCTGTCATTTTAACTGGTAATAAAAAAACGACATAAAGGTATTCAAACATTTCCTGGACTATAATACTCAGTACCTCAATTACTTGAGTCTTGGACTCTGGTGTCCTTTCATAGCAGAGTATAATAAATTTTTAAATTCTAAACCAATTTCATAGCTTGTACTTTTTCTAAGCCAATGTGTGTTGTTTGAGTTGTAATTAAAACCCAACTCTAAACAACAAAATACAATAAATTACAACATTTACCTTCTCATCACTTATTTTGAGTGTTTTGGTTAGAAGTAACAGTAACAGGTTTGTCCAGGCCTCTCGATGGCTTTCTGAATTTACGGTAATAAAATAACCAAGAGCTTCACTACAAACACTAGGGGGAAAATCAGAGAGGAAGATACTTACATAAATTCATTCATTCAATAATCATTAATCAAATATTTACCATAAGCAATCTACTGTTCTATTTTCCCAAACACATCCCTCACTTTCCTACCTGGCTTGTGCATTATTCCCCACGCTTAGAATGCCTTCTTCCTTTGTTCCCACCTGCTGACCTATCTCCTTTGAGACCCAATTCAAATATCCTTTTTTCTATAAAGCCTTTCCAGATCTTCCTAGATAGGAGCAGTCTACGGTGTACCTGTCTCTCAGAACTCTGTACCCCTCTTACACACTTGTCAGATGTGATTTGGATTAAAGATATTGGTATACATGTGTTATTTTCTCCTATTAGATGAAAAGCTCCTTGAAAACAGTAACTATATATTATTTATCTCTAGCTCCTAAAAGACCCAGGATAATACTGATACTGTGTAGGTTCTTAATAAAAACTTATTGAAAGAATAATAGGACCCGTGGAAATATAAAGATAAATACAATGCTGTGCTTGTCCTCAAGAAGCCTTTGATCCAACAAGGGACATAAGACGTAAATGTAGATAAATGATATATACAACAGAATGTATATAGTATTTTAAGGTTTACAAAGCACTTTCCTTACAACTACCTTGAGTCACTATGTTAGAAAGTTTCAGAGATCACATGTGCCCCTCAATTTCACATACAAATCTAAATGTTATGAGAAAAATGAAGTGGATGATTGCTCATCTGTGGTCACAAGACACTGTTTATTCATGCGACAAGCATTTAATGATTATTTCCAGCACTGTGGAAAGAACAATGGCAGCAAAAAAGCCTAACACACAACGGTCCCTGGAAAGATAAACTCTCTACATATAAAATAAAGAGGGGACAACTAACTCCAAGTCAACACATATATGCACAATGTACTTGGTACATACAACAAATCATACATAAACCAAGCACACAGAGAAGATGGAACAAAGATGGAACCCAATTTTCTTGTGGTTTTATTATCCACACTTTCTCCCACCATATATACTGCTTCATCTTTCAGCCTTATACTTTTCATTTTGTTTTCTGTCACAGAAAAGGTTTTAACATCTTTTTAAGAGAGGCTATGAAATCTCCTTCTCTGGAGATTTATAAATATACACATAAATACCTCTGGAGCACATCTTAAGCACAAGTCTGGTATTTTAAGATCCTTTTTTGCCACTAAGTCTAATAAAAAAGTTTTATAAAGACCAAGCAAGATTTGTGAATATTTCATCAGAAAATTAATTGTAAAAATCCACTGGACATATATCAGAAAACCTAATGGTTGAAGTCCTGGCCCTGACCTTTACTTGTTGTGTGACCTTGAGAAAGACACTTAACCTTCGAACCTTCTTTTTCCTGTTCTGTAAAATGGGGATAATCATGCTTGTTACCCTACTTTACAGGGTTGTTTCAAAGAAATGTCTCTGTAAATCTTAAAATGCTATAGAAATATAATTATTGTATCAGATATTGCTAACTCATGTGTAATTTTGCATTTGTAGAGTGCCTTTTGAAAACACTGAAGTTTTCAAATTGTTTATCTACCTTATTCCATTTTCTTCTTACCTGGTGAGGTAGGCAGGGCAGGTTCTAACATGGAACCTTCTTAGAGTTGGACAGTGTCCTAGGTTTAATGGACTTAACTCCATGAAATGAGAGGCTCACAGAGGTCTATGACCCATGGTCATAGAGTTAAATACTAAGTTGTGGAGCTGACACTGAAACCTAGGTCTTCTGATTCCAGGCCCAACTTTTTTTTTTCAGCATGTGATGCTGTGTCTCTACTTGATAACCATTAGCATCTCCATTTTACTGATAAGTAAATAGACTCAAATAAAAGTTTAGGGACCTAGGCAAGGTCAAACAGCAAGCTAGTAATAGACATATACTGATTCTAGAAAGACTCGAGCACTTCCCACCATATTAGATTTTCTTCCAACTATAATTCCATTTTGTACTATACAATTAACATTTATATATGTGTTTTATGCATACACATACACACATAAACAAAAAAATGTCCTTTTATTTAAATACTGTTTCCTTTTTCCATCCCCATTAAATAAACAATGTCCACGCTATCTCCCACTCGCCCCCTCCCTTTTTTGAAAAACAGAAAACAAACCATCATACGTTAAGAGTCTATGCTGTATCTCCTCCCAGGAATCTTTGCGGTTTTCATCAATATACATTCGGAAGAGGATTCTTAAACAACATGCCAGACTGCTGGTCTCTTGTTTTAAAAGATTGGGTTTAGATTTGCCTTTAAATCCTAAAAGCGATTAATACAAAATAAATGCTTTTGGAATAATTCTTAAAAAACAATTGAGAAGGAACATGAGAACTTTAAGCACAACAGTTATTTCTGGAAGTGATAGAAAAAAAGGCCTATACATTTTTATACATTCATGTTCACGGCACACTTGAGATAATCACACCTAGTAACAAAATAAATAAGAATGTCTCATAGCATCAGAGTAATCACATTTTTTTTCTCCTTAAACACAATAACTCTTTATGATCCAATTACAGATTTCTGTTTCAGGGGTTTTCTGGTTTCTATCTATGATTTCATTGGTGTTGGGAACTTTTTCTACTAGTGCAGATCAGCAACTCTCAGTCTTGGAGAACTGCCCAGGGTCCTGAGAGAAGTGACTTGCCCAGGGTCATATAGCCAGTGTGTGCCAGAAGCAGGGCTTGAGTTCAGGTCATCCTGACACTCTGGCTACTCTATTACAATGACTCTCACTCAGTCTTATGTTATAAAGTTAATTTAGTAAAGCAATCAAAATGTGCAAGAATGCAGGAAGTTTCACAACAAATCAAAGGCGCTAACCAAGTTAAATGTACAGATGATCTATGCAAGCCACTGACACCATTTACCTTCAGTGATGTTTTACTATATATGAATAGAATAAAATTTGGGGGAATTTTAAAAAATAGGGTGAGGTGTTTGTTTTGGACAGAATGAAATATAGGAGAAAACTTAAATATATGATACTTTTAAAAGGCATACTTTATAGAAATGAAGTCTCTCTGTTAGTTTGACAGAGAGGACTGAGAAAAAGCAGAAAATTCAGCTATCTCGTACTACATAGACACACACTTTTGCAATTTGGGAGGAGAAAACTGAAAAACTTTCAATTTTTCCTTGCCCTTTATATATATCCACATATAATCCTTTTTCACAGCACAATTTTAAAGTGAGATTAATTATATGAATTTGACTTTCATCCTCTAAAGCATTTCTCTTCTAAACAACTCAAGTAAAATAATAGTTTCTGGCTATGGTACAAAATGTAAAACACTTTCTCTTTAATATCTTAGGTTAATGCTCAGATTATCTCATCTTACTTAGTAAAATTCAGTTTTACTTACCTGCTCTCCACAAAACTGTTCGTTGTTCATAATTTGAGTTAAAGGCCTTTGAGAATGAATGAGACTCTTGCAAACAGTCTAGTAATTTAAAAAGATGCTGTGAAGACATGTATTTATACATTCCTTGATCTTCTGTGTCTATGTGAATATCAGCATCCAGTGTGTCTCTCTAGGAAGTGAGAGTAGGCATAATTGAGGGACATCATATGATTTGCAACCAGAAAATAATTTAGATGAAGTAGTTTTTGCATATTAGCAAGTAAGGAGACTAAGATTTGATATTAGACAGGAACACATCTGGCAGTAAGGAAAATACTGCCTTTTGATGGGGAGGAGACTGGATCCCCACTGACATATTTGCAATCATCTGCTTCTAGTTTAAATACGGTGAATAATAATAGTTATCCCTTCCACATCACCATGTAGAGAGGCATGGTTCTCCTGCAATCTAGAAAATCCAAGCCCTCCCTTCATACAGGAGAAGTCTGAATTTATTCTTTTTCTTTTATGGGGTGTTTATAGTACCTTATTGTAAAATTTGGGCCACGTATTTGGTCGTAGGCCCTGTGCTGTCTGCTGGCCTTTGTATGCCATCTATGGCTGCCACAAACTCCCCCAAAATTCCCATTTAATTTTTTATGTTGACCTGTGATATACTGAAACCATGATGGGGAAAATCATGATGTGGAAAGGACAATTACAGTTGGTACTGCACTTAATGGTTTACAGAGTGCTTCAGAAGACATCATTTTATTTGATTTTTCACAGGTCATGAGGTATCTGTTGTATGGATTACCCCTCTTTTATATGTGAGAAAACTTGGATTCAAAAAAGCAAAGTACTTTACTCAAGAACACACAGAGCCAGAACCTGAATCCAGGTTTTCTGGTTTGTGCCACTATACCAACTGGTCTCTATTTCACACTTGATGAACATTTCCTCTATTTCAAGGCCTCAGATAGGGGTGTTGCTTAGCGATTTCAGCACAGGAGCCACTCTTCCTTTCCATGCTTATTTCCTATCAGTCTTCTCCAAGTGTACTGCAATCTCATGCCTTTTCTGTGGCATTCTTCAGAATTTCTGAGTCTCCCTTTATTCAAATGCTCCATACTTACCCCTCACCTTTCCAAGTCCAATTCAGAGGCCACCTCCTCTAGGAAGAACTTCTTGTTAGCCCAAATGGTAATGACTTTCCCCTTCAGCCCTTACATCGTCCTCTATACTGCTTTAATGAACTGAGGTAACATAGTAGGCTGAAGTCTAACCACCTGTGTAGGACTCTTATTCTTTTACATGATTGAGTTCCCTGAAGGCATGGTTAATTTCTTATATAAACCTTCCTCCAATGATGAGCAAAGTACTCTGTCATTCAAGAGTGGAAGGATGTTTGTTTTTTGCTAGGCCATGGGGTTAAGTGACTTGCCCAGGGTCACACAGCTAGTAAGAGTCAAGTGTCTGAGGCTGGATTTGAACTCAGGAGGTCCTCCTGATTCCAGGGCTGGTGCTCCATCCACTATGCCACCTAGCTGCCCCTGAGCAAAGTACTCTGTACCTGATAGATACCTACCAAATGCTGTATCACCAACAAAAATAAAAGGGAGTTTGAGTGGAGAAGATGTGATGCCCCAAGCATAAGACCTTACCTGAGCTGCCACCATGTGCTCAGCATCCTCCTTTTTGCTGGTTGCTGGATAGAATACTATGTTGTCAATGGTCTGTATCAATTCCAGCTGAACCACACACTTGATCAGGAGGCCAGCAAATAGCTTTTGGTCTATGTGAACAAGGCAAATTAAAAGCCAAAAATAAACCCTGGTAGTTACAGCAGTGATTAAGACCATGAAACTTTAACTGAATTTGGACACAACACATAACTAGAAAGAGACAATGAAACTACACAGTCAGTTTGGGCTGAAGATGTGTGAATTTCAAAAACTGGCTAAAAAATGACTGATCCCTCTCCAGATGAAGCTAGTCAGCATGGAACCAGGTAGCTTACTTGTGAGAAATTAGAAGCCAAGGAAATTGGTAGAAAGCAGTTCCCAATCATGGTTTCAATCATCTAATTACACTACCTTTAAGGGCTCTAAGACTGTCATGAAGTACTCCAACTACAAGTAAACTGCCTATCACCCTGCTCACACTCATTCTGAAGGCTCTCTGAAGAGCCTCCTGCTCAGGAGCCATCTCATCTACTGAAGACTCCCTGACCTCTTCGCCAGCTGAAGGAATTTCTCCATCCCCAGTCTCCCCTCCCTCTCTGTTTAACTTCTTTGTACCTGTCACAGCCTAATGTGAAGTACAACTATCTGTGTAGATCTCATTCCTGAAATGGACTACAAGCTACTTAAAGGCAGGGGGTCTGTCCTGTTTAAGCTCTGATTTTCTACCACTTATCACAGGTATCTGCACATATGTGTGATTTCAAAAGCTACTGGGAAATTCATAAAGAAAAAGCTGTATTTACTTTAGAAATAAACATCCTGTCTTGTGCTTTCAGACATGTTAAAGGCATCTATCAAAGAGGAAAAATGCCTCTCTCCCTAACAAATCCCACACCATAGCTTTCCTTAAACAAAAATGTTCTCCTACCAGGTCTCTTTCACTGTCCCACTTCTCAAGTTATAATTTGAAGTCTTCTGCTGTGAAGTCTTTCCTGAAACTGATTCCTCTTCATCTGATCACCTAATAGTTTGTTTTCCTCCTGTGCAACTGTCATATTCTTGTTTATCTTATATCTATCTCATTTCTCTGCTCCCAAAATCTTATCACTGTATCTTCTTTCCCAGTATTTAGTAAAGTGCTATGCATGCAGTATACACTTAAATATTTTAAAATTAGTGAACAGCAGGAATATCAACCCTAAAAGGTTTGAGAATAATTTTTTGATGATGATGACGACGATAATGACGACAATGATAATAAAAGTCTAGTCTTACTTGTATATGGTCTACCTTTCCAGCTGTCATCAGTTGGGTTAGAAATCTGGCTCTGACCTCTTTCGGAGGGATTTTTATCTATACTGCTTAAAGACTGGCGGTCCAAATCCAAATCCTACAATTTTATCAGAAAAGAAGAGTATTTACTGAGCATTTTTCAAGCAAGATTTCATTTCTACAATATATTAAGGTTTTTCATACCACTTATCTCTTTGGCACAGCTTGCATTTAACCTTCCCACTTGTCTCAAAGTAAAATCAACCCTGACTACTCACTGCAGTGCCCTTAAAAGGCATTTTTTTTGGGGGGGGGTTAAGTGACTTGCCCAGGGTCTCACAGCTAGTAAGTGTCAAGTGTTTGGTCTGAGGCCAGATCTGAATTCAGGTCCTCCTGACTCCAAGGCCAGAGCGCTATCCACTGTACCACCCAGCTTCCCCAAAAGACATGTCTGAGAGGTAAAGACTTTGAATGATTTTTCCTTCTATGAAAATTTCAAAACCATGGATATCTTATTTTAATCTTAAATACTTAACATCCATTCTTTGGGAATAAAAAATGTATTTAACTGATATGTTTTATTTTTTACATTAGCCATTTCTTGAAATACTCCCATTCCTAGCACTAAATCCCTTATAACAAGAACAGTTAAAAAAAAGCTAAGCTATAGAGTGATTTGGTTGGCCAATTCATGCAGTATATCACACTTCACCACTGATAGGGAAGAGATAGATACTTGGCCAAAACTGGTTACCAAGAGTTCAGCTTTCTTTTAACACTCTTCATTTACATTACTATGGTCCTTGTCTATATTATGTTCATTGAGCTCACTTCACCATTCATCACCTCCCACAAGTCTTTCCATGTTTCTTTGCAGACCTCTGATTTGTCATTTCTTACCGCATGACTTTATTCAATAAAATCCATATGCCACAATCTATTCAGCCATTCTGTCAATCTGTGGGCAGGCATGCCCTGAGAGGGGATCCATTGCTGATCCATTCATCCACTGAGATGGAATTTGAACCTAGGTCCTCTGTATCTAAATCCTGTATTTTACCCACCAAATCATTGTTCCCTTCACTTACAACTTTTTGAAACAGGAATTTTACAGTTTATAACCTACTTGTGTCCCACAGATTACAGAACCATGAACTCTTTGGGCAGACAACTTTTAAAAATATATAGAACCAAAAGAAAAAAAAAAGAAAGCAAAAACTAAACAACTCTACCAAGTGTTTCTCTGACGCATCATCCTCCATTCCAGCAGGCCTCCATGTCAGCAAACTAAAGCAAGGGAAGAGGAAATGGGAGAGAAAATTGTTTAATGGAAAAAACAGAACTGAATGCAGAGTAAACTGCACATTAGCCACTGCATCAAAACTTACATGTGTGGAATGGTTGTTTTGAAAATGTCCAGCATACAATTACAAGTTTCATCCCAAACATCAGGGCTGAATTTTTCACCATTTGATATTACCAAGTTTTCTAAACAATTCGTGCCAGATCGGGCCAGCTGCTCATTATCTATAAAATAAGATAACATCTGTCAACAAACTTTTGCTGCTTTTCTATGCCAGCTGTGTGGTCCTCACGCCACAATGTGGGAGGAAGAATATGCCACTGGTGGTTGTGCTCCTTGCAAACCTTCAATGAAAGCAGTGGTGTCATGCAGGTACTCTAAGTGAAGAGCTAAAGGCTAGTTACCTGTGTCACTGGTACTTTGCCAACTCTACACATTCTACATCCTCCATGGACCAAATCCCCTTCATGAAGCTTTCCCTGATCTAATTAGATGGAAATAATGTTTTCTCATAGGATTTCATACTTTTTTTCTGCACACACTGTTCTAATTTACATAATACTAACAGTAGAATAAATCCAACACTTCACCCTTATTTATCATTGTGGACAGTTACTTTGATATCCAAGGAACAAACTTCACATTAGAAGATATATATTGAGGAAAATTCAGGCAATGTTTTAATATTATACAAAATTATTACAATTGCATTTTATTCATTTAAAATACTTGAGATACAAAGTTGGGGTGGAATTTGTACTATTAGTTAATTCCAGATATAATAATCACCTTGGCTATTTCTTGCTTCCTAAATTTTTATCATGATAGCTCTCTGAAAAATTTTTGGTTATCAATAAGTCCTCAATGCACATTACCAAGCCTCATGTAATATTACAAGTTATTACATGTGGAGTTGAGTACATGGAACACATCAACATGTTTCAGACACCACTGTGGGAGTGAATGAAAAGGGTATCGATGCTTTTCAATGATGGTGTCAGAGGTTCTAATATGCAAATATGTTTTGTATGACTGCACATGTATAACCTTTATTGAGTTGTTTGCCTTCTCAATGAGAGGGGAGAGAAGGAAGTGTGGACCAGAATTTGGAATACAAACTTATAAAAAACACTGGTTAAATTGTTAGTACATGGGGAAAAAATTAAATATTAAAATAAAAAAACAACAACAGTGTAAAAAAACCAAAACACCTTAATGTATATTTTCTAGGAACTGAGAACTGCCTGGTGTGAAACTTATAGTGAAATAGTTAGAGAGATGTCAAGGTCACTTATAAGAACAGCTCAAATACACATAAATTTAGGATGCTTTTCCATGGTGACCCCCACACTGCTCAAGCAAAGGGTCATTTACACGGACCTGAGAGGGTTACAAGCACAAAGGCACAGCACCTATGAATAGTATGGAAGGGACTTCACAGATCACCTATGACCTCTCCCATCTGGACTGTGAATCTTCTCTTTATAATGCCTCCAAGGAGCAGTTAGCCAGCCCTGACCGAAACACTTTCAACAACTAAAAAATACACTTCTAAGGAGACCTATGTCATTGTCAGTGAGCTCTAATTGCAAGTAAGCATCTACTCTTTGGGACCCAGCAGAATAAGCCTAACCCCTCTTCCACATGACTTCCCTTCAGCAGTGACTGTCTTGATAACAATTATTAAGTCCTTGTAAACAAAAGAAAAATAAATACATTTTTGGGGAAGAGAAGGATTCTGTTTTTATGGTCCACACAATTAAATTACACACTGTGCAGGCCATTAGGGTCTTTAAAAATTATACTGAAGCATTCTTAGCATCTACTTATCAACCAGTGATATACCCAGAAAAACAATGATTATAAATTTGAAGAGTACCTTGTTTTACACACCAATGTAACTGTGCAAATACATCAGAAAGCAGAACTTCATTTAAAGCTTCGTAAAACTGTGTGAACACATCACAAATAGCATAAAGTGCATGATTGCAAGTTGTGGTCATCCATTCTGATTTCTGGAAGCAACAAAGAAATATTAAAAGGCTTCCTAATCACTTCCATTTAAAAAATCTTCAGCGACAAAACAATTGAGGCCCAATGAACATAAAGTAGGCATTAAAATCTCCCTTTTAAAACACAGCTTAAAATGTAATAAAGCTATTTACTCTTGGGGATAGCATATAAAAACATTTTTAGATGCCAGCTGAGTAACAAACAGAGAAACTAGCAGAATATATCAACAATTATTGCAGAAGAGTTAATATGCTATAGTAGAAAAGGTATGAGATTTGGTATAAGGAAACCTGAGTTCAAGTCCTGAAACTATCCCTTATTACACACTTGTATGAACATTAGCATATTGTTAACAACTATGGGTCTTAGTATTCTCCTCTCTATAAGAGTAGAACCCCTGCACTGTCCTTCTCAGAGAGATGCCACCAAGATAAAAAAAAAGATAATCGAAGTAGAATGGTTTGAAAACCATGAAGCGCTACTAGATTATACGTTTCATGTAGTGGATATGGAATGGGACTGTGGTTTAACTAAACCCTCTCTTCCTAAGAACAGTGCTCTGTGTTCAGCTGAAGTGTAATCTCTATTTCAGTTGAAGTGAATGTCAGCTATCATCAATGGTCACAATGACCAGCATCTTTTCCAAAAGTAACTGTGTTTTTGAGGAGGATCCAAATGAGCAAGGTGATTTCAATTTTCTCTCTAGTCAAAAAAACAGGGAGATCCTCTAGATCCTAACTAGTTTATGCTACTTAGAAGACTGACAGACACATTTTAAACCTTAAAGTATTACGTAAATGTGACTTATTAATGAACAGTACTTTCTATCACCTCAAAGTATTATTAAAATAGCTCAAATGTTAAGATAGGAGATGAAGCATCAAGTAGATAAAATTCAAAGAAGTTCTTGAAGTATTCAACTTACCTCTGACTGCTGCTCAGGGAGTTTCATATTGTCAAAAATTCTAAACACAATTCTGAATAGATCCTGCCACCAATGTTTTTCAAAAGTGTGACCGTAGCTCTTCATTATCTCAAACATCACTGTGAGTCCTCTACGGAAAGCAAAGGTGGAAAGTAGAAGGCAATATGAAAAAGGGAAGATCTGTCAGCTTCAGAAACTGACAGCAATATAATTTCAATAAACAGAATGAAGCAATGAAATACATCTTTCATGTAATTACCTTGTCCGAACATCTAACTTGCACCTATTAATAATGCAAGAGAGTTCAAATAGGATAGGAAACCAGCCTCGAACCCAGACTCTGTCTCCAGGAGCTACATTCATATCATCACTTGTGTATTCTTGAAGCACCTATAATAAAAATCAAATCTAAGACATCAAGACCTATTATGTAACAAAATGCATGTCAGAAAAGAGGTAGTAACAGTATATGTGTTTCTCTCTTCAAATACCTAATGACTGAGTTTGCCTTCTGGCTCAGGGGCCCTCTTTCCACATATAGCAAACATATAGACGACTGCTCATCCACCATTTGGAGCTGTTAATGTCACACCAGTCAATTCCTATGGGCTAATTTTTAAAATGCAATGGGAAACCTGGGAATGGGAGCAGATCACAAAAGCCCTTTGTGGAGTCAAAGTTGGAAAATCAGGAATTCTCATATATTTACAAATGCTATAGAGGTCAAAGCATCTTGTAATACTTGACTGGACAGTTCAAGTGCTCATACCTTTCAAGAATGCAGCTCTATCAAATCTGAAATAACAAAAGCATTCTTTCTCCAACCACTTCAGTTATATGCAGTTGTGGCCATCTTCACACCTCACTATGTCCTCACATTGCACCACTTCCATGAGCCTCTACTGATAAATCGTAATCTCTCAGCTTAACTTATACATTCGTCCTCTGATCTCACTCACATTAACCCTATTCCTTGCCCTCATCTTGACCTCTCATCCTTCAGCCTCCTCCAGTTCATCTCCCTCACTTAGGCATCATTTACCTCTTCTCTATCTGTGCCCTTCATAACAAACCTTCTGGTCTTGTCCAAAAGTCAATCTCTCTCCTCTTTCTAGTGGAAAATCTAATTTCTCTACCACTACCATCTTCTTCCTATATGATTATAAATAAGATCAAGTTTCCTTAACACTAAACAAGTCTTTCACTACTCTACTGCTTCTACTACCTCATTACTTCCATCTCCTTTTCTTCCCCTTTAAGGCCTAACTTGTAAAAAGTCTATGTCTAATGCCTATTTTCCTCATCACTCAGTCTTTTCCCAAGCCCTTGCAATCTAACTTTCATTCTCATCACCTTACTGAAATTATTCTCTTAAAAGTCTTGCTGACCCTCTAATAAATTCAATACTCTTTTTTCATCCTTTATTCTTCTTCATACTCTGCAGTATTTGACAGTATTGGGTATTCCCTCCTTGTGAACATCCTCTCTTCCCTTGGCATCAGATATACCAATTTAAACCAACAAGCATTTATTAAGTGCCAACTACGTGAGAGGAGTGGTGCTAGAAGGACATGAAGACAAAATGAAGAATAGCATAAACTGCAGGAGCTTCTATTGTGTGTGTGTGTGGGGTGCAACATGTAAATACCTAAGTATATATGAAATAATTTGAGGCAGAGGGAGAAAGCCTTAATAATTAAAGAAATCAAGAAAGGCTTCCTGTTGGGAAGGGCCTATGAGCTTAACTTTAACAAAAATGTGGGATTCTTTTCTTTTACTTTTAATAACTTTTTTCCTTCACTTTCTCCTCATCTTCTTACCTTTAAAGGTGAGTGTTCTTTAATGTTCTGTTGTCATCCCTCTTCTTATTCTACCCCTCGGATATTGCACTCATTGCCATGACGAAGCATGGCATAAAGGAGACAGCGCTGTACTTAAAGTCAGAAAGAGCTGAGTCTAATCCTGCCTTACACGTTTATTAGCTGTGTGACTACAGTCAAATTAACTGAATCTTTCTTGGCTTTAGTTCCTTGCCCCTAAAATGAGGGAGTTAGATTTAATAATCTCCAAGGTATTTTCCAGCTCCAAATCTATGTATAATTCTTTGATTAAAACTATCATCTCTACCCAAATGACTCCCAATTTTTGAAATGATACAATGGCATCACTGATTTGTTCCTATTTAAGATCACAGATTCCTCACTCCTTTACAGAAACATGTGGGAGAGTGTTCCACGGGTACATAACATCACTTTTTTTTGATGTATGGATTATTTTAGCTGAATTTTTTCCCCCTCTGCTTAAAATTCTTTGTTATAAGAGATGGCTCTTTGGAGCAGAGAAGAAAAAGGAAGTATACATGGGAAAATTTAAGTGATATAAAACCAAATTATATTAAAATCTTAAAAAAATTTTTTAAAATCCTTTTAAAAAAAGATAAAATAAAATACTAACAGATTCATATATTGATAGAGCTGGGAAGGATCTCTAAAAATAATATAATTCAAATGCCTCATTTTATAGATGAGGAAACGAGGAAACTGAAGCCCAAAGAAATTAAGTGACTTAACAAATGAATGGCTCCCAAATCAACCTCTTCCCCAAGGTTCAATTCAGGTGGCCCTTTACTTCATGAAGTATTTCCCTAGTTCTGAAAATAATCTCTTCCTTAAAGATTTTTTTAGCAATTTATTTGGATTGCTTCCTTGTACTTTACCACATTTAGTCTTTTATTAAAGTTACTGACTTACGTGTCTTATTACCCATTACACTGTATTAGCTCCTTGAGGGCAAGGGTATTGTCATTTTCCTTTTTTTTATCTCTAGTGTCTAGGCTAGTAGAGCTTAATACGTATTTTTAATTTAATTTGCATATTATTGTATAAAATAAGTAAGACTTTTCTTTCTTCTTATACAAGATGGTCACACTTTCCTGTACAAGTCATACTTCCCCCTGACTTAGGCAACTCTCTAAGACTCTAAGCTTCAGAGAAGGGGTTGACCTGCACAGGGAACATTTTACAATTTATAATTTGCAATCTAATTAATTAGAGAAGAAATCTTTAATGTTTATAAGTAGGTATTTTTAGAGTTACTGTAGTGATGATTTAACTTAGTTTTAATTCTATCCACAGTTAGTGTGCCATGTAACTTCCTAAAAGTTTCCCAAACTTCCTAAAAATTTCTAAATGAAGTGAAATAGCTAATACCTGCAGTGTTTATTTCAAAACAAACAGCTAGTACAAAGTAAAAGCAGATCTAAAACACAACATGGACAGCAGCTGACAATAATTTTTCCTCCCCAACTCCTAGTCAACTAAGGGAAAGTGAACCTACCCTGGGCCTTTCAGAAACATATTTCCCACAGTATCGGATCAGTCGAATTGCTTCCATGCTGGTATCAGGAAAAGAAGCGTTGCAAGCAAACTCAGATAAGCACTTCACAGCATCTTGAAAGGAATCTATTGCAGCAGGGAAATGGTGCTGAAAGATAGTTGCTGGGGAAACATAAATTGTGCCATTTAACAGTGTTTGTTAGGTGGATAAAACAGTAAAAGTATGACTTAAATCTAAGAGAAATATGTCAGTGATTTTCTCTAGGACAAATGCTTTTAAAAAGTTATTCCTAAATAATATAATAAATACACCTCAGTCTAAATTGGTTCAGATTACTTCAAAGAATATCATGAAGGCACAAATATTCGAGGATCATAACACTGCCGATTAGACATATTAAGTTAAGCTAGTTTATAATATAGGAAGCTGATGAACTATATAATTAGAGAACTGAGTATCTAAGTTATATTATTTCACAGCATAATTTAGTGGAAAGTAACCATGGCTTCTATTTAGAACTGAATTGGAGTCCTAGGTGTGTTACTTATAACATTTAGAATGTAATCCTCTTCACCTTACAGAATAGGAAACTGGGGCCTAGGGAAAGGAAGTAATCTGTCCAAGGTCATGCAGGTATTAAGTGAAAGAGTTGGGATTCGTACCCAGGTGTTTTGACACCAAATCAAGTGCCCTTACCACTACACCACAGCATACGACTAGCACATCCATACTCACTAGCTGTGTGAGCATGGGTAAGACCCTTAACTTCTCACCATTAGCTTGTTGAAAGCTCATCTGTAAAATGGGGATAACATCTATAAAACCTATCTCACAGGCTTGTTGTGAGGTTCAAATGAGATAATGTGTTATGCAAACTTTAAAATGTTACATAAAGGTCAGTTACTATAATTATAAATAATTTGCTTTCTCTGAGTCTCAGTTTCCTTATCTGTAAAATGGACATAATATGCCTAACTATCTACCTTCACTTTAGAGGATTGTAAAGTGACTGGTAGGTAGCATATTACTTTTTTAAGCAAGGCTTTAAACATCCACTTCAGAGTAATAAGCTAGGCAGCTGGGATACAAATACAAAGGTAAGACAATCCTTACCCTCAAAAAGCTTACATTCTTACCAGGGAGACACAATATGTTCAAAGATAATTAAATCTAGGATACATATAAAATAAATACAAAGTGATTTGTCAAGGCACCAAAAAGTGGTTGAATCAAGGGACTTCTGTAAGGATGTGACACCAACTGATCTCTGAAGACAGCTGGGGTCTCCGTGAGGTGAGAAGGAAGAGCATTCTGGGCTTTGGAACAAGCTTGTTTGAGGGCAGAGAGTTGGAAGATGGAACGCCAAGCAGAAGCCATGAATGGGGAACAAAAGCAAGTAGGAGACTTTATCGAATCGGTGGAAAGACAGGCTGCGGCCAGACTGTAAAGAACTTTTAAATGAGAGTTTGTGTTTTTTCTACAGACAATGTGGAAAAATATGAAACCTTATAAAACTAGTCTTGCTTGCTCCACCTGGATTCACCTCCACAGAACAAGTTACTCCCCTGCGCCCCTGTTCCCTTCCCTCATCCCGTTTTCCTCCTCCTTCAGTGTGTTGCCTCCCCCATTGGATTGCAAGCTCCTAGAGGGCAAGGACTAGCTTTCTTTTTATTAACTGTATTCCCAGAATTCAGCACGTCATAGGCACGTAATAAATGTTTATTAGATTGGATTGAAAGTGATGACTTTTTTCTAAGTAATGATGTAAGAGTGTCTACTTTTCCCGTCCGTAGAGACAAGAGTCCCAAATTTGCTATGTCAAAGGAGGATAAGGATAAATCTTCCAACTAGCACATGTTCTAAGAGAATTTTATTTTATTTTTAGGCAATTGGGGTTAAGTGACTTGCCCAGGGTCACACAGCTAGTAAGTGTCAAGTGTTTGGTCTGAGGCCGGATTTGATCTCAGGCACTCCTGACTTCAGGGCCGGTGCTCTATCCACTGCGCCACCTAGCTGCCCCAAGAGAAATCTTTTAAAGTGAAGATGGCTGACACTTTCATAAAGTCAGGTACAGTTTTGGGCCATCCAGTGACTCAGGAAAGGAGGTTTAAAATGCAATGAGAGTTGTAAATGATAGAATAAAAATCTCCTTAGTAATGACAAGAAATTAAAAGAATTCAACTTCTAGTTAAATAGGATACAAAACACTAGTCCCCTCTGCCACCACAGTCATCACTTTAACAGGCTATGTGAAGTTTTAGAAGCATTCCTCCTCCTCCTCCTCATTCTCTTTTCTCTCTCACCACCCCCAATTCCCATAAAACTCTGGACACTAGACATCAGTTTTCCCTCAGGTCCAAAACAGCCAAATAGCCTCTCCGCCTCCTTAAAGGACCAGCCCAGTATGTGTTTTCTGGAGCCACCAGCCAGCATGGTGGACTCTGGGGCTGGGCTGCTGAAGAAGGGAAAGGGAGACCAAAGGAGCAGGGGAGAAAGTGAAAAGAGGAAGAGGAAAAGAAAGAGGAGGAAGGGCATGGACACAGTTCTGTTTTCAGTGGCACCAGAGCACAGCAAACTGGCCTGTGTCCAAACTAGCCCTCAGCGTCCTATTCTCTTGCCCCACTTGCTGGTACAAACAATGGCTCCTAACATCTGTTAAACCGTATTGAACTATGATGTTGTGGGAAAAGTGCTTGAATAGGAGTCAGGGTAGTTAACTCTTTATATGACTTTGAGTAGATCACCCGCTCATTTGGACTCATTTTTTTCATCCATAAAACTTATTCAAAGGTATTAAAACAAATACTCTTTAAAATCCAGCAATAGAAGTCTGGAATGTCAGACAGAAGGCCAACTTCTACTTATCTCAAAAAATTACATTTTTATAGAACTTTTGGATTTACAAAGTGTTTTCCTCACAACTACTACACAAGGTATTATTAAGGTATACTAAATATTATTATCCCATTTTACAGATGAAGAAATTGAGACACAGAGAGGTTTAACAATAAAGTCACTCGGGCAATAAATGTGAGAGCCAGGATTTGAAAACAGGACCCCTGATTTCTCCTGATGAGTTGTCTTTGCACTTTTCCTTGAAAACAAAAACAAAAAACCAGTCCCAACTTTTGAGTTAAAATCATCTAAAGAATAAACACACCTTAAGAATTGAAATCATCTCTGTAACTTTATTCTAACTTCCTCAGACTGATTTCTATGGGCAGAAATTTTATATAGCAAGGGGGTTTTATGAAAAAATTACATAAAAGGTAAGATGTTATCTCTGTGAAATTTAATTACTACTTACTGACTATATGGCCTGTTGTTTGGAACGCCAGTTCCACAATATTCCCATCATGATCAGAAGCTGCCTGGTGGAATACGGCAAAGATATTCTTCCAACCTGAGCGAATGTTAGCAGCTTGGGAGTTTACCATCTGAGTTATGCAGCGGATAACCATGTCTCGAATGGTGGGTGATCTTAAGAAAAAGGGATAGCCATATCATCTGTTCTTCAGTATACAGGAAAGAGAATTTAACATAGCTACTAACTTAGAATTAATATTCTTTACAGTTACCTTAAAGTCATCAAGGCACAATAAATACATAAGTTCCTTTATTTCTCTCCATGTACTTCACTATGAAGCCCCATCAGATTACTCCTTATTTCTATCACTCCCTCAAATATGAACAGTCCTCTGTTCCCTATGCCTAGAATGTCTTTCCATCCTCACTCGCTGAATTCGCTGTTAAACCTCAACTCTAATGTTACCTTATTAGTTTATGCCCATTTCCCTCCTAGACTGTAACCTTCATGAAAGCAAGGGCCACATCTTAGCTAAACTTTTTATGTCCTTTAGTACCTACAGGCGGCATTTTTTAAATTCACATTTAAATTTTAAATATCTACAAATAAGGCATTTAGAAAACTTCTGGAAACTAATTATATCAAAAGCTCCAAAAAAAATCACCCCAGGTCTATCCCAAATCAGGTGACCTTAAGCCCCAAAGCACGTGTGCTAAAATCCATTTATAGTCAACTGGACTATTGACAATGATGGGGTTTACGTGACTTTTCCAAGAACCTGATTTGATAAGCTGGCCTCTGAGCACATCACAGTACTCATCAGAAGTCAATCTTCCCGTTTTAGCTATGGTTCATCTTTATAGCAACTGAGAAGGGGCTGGGAGGATGTCAGGGTTGTCTGGCAGGATGGGGAGGTTACCAAATGCTGTCCTTGATTCACAATGACCTAGGTATTTTCACTGATAATCAATGATTAATAGAAAATGCCTATTTGTCTATGGTATTTCCTTGCCACTGGAATAGAATCAATTTGTGGTAGGGACTCTATCTAAACTTGATTTGCTTAGAGTCACAATGCATTCCACAGCAGGGGAGGGGTCAATTTAGGAGCAGGGTGGCATAGTGGACTCAGTAGACCTAGCAGGTCCAACTATCACATGAAATAATCTTCAGTAAGTCATGTCCCATCTCTGGGCCTCAGTTTTCTTTTCTGCGAAATGAGGGGAATGGACAAGATAATCTTTTACATTTCATCCCACTCTAACAATCAAAATATTGTGGTTTGGTTGCAGTGGTTTATGGTGGGAAGGAATCACACACCTGTTTTTCTTCATAATATGCTCAAATGGCCTTAGAAAATCCTTCTGGAATCGGAAATTGGCTAACTCTCCCTTCTCAAGAAACTTCATGGACAGCTGCCTCAGTGAATCAACAGCAAAAATGGCCACATCTTCATTAGGATTACAGCCAACCTAATAATGAAGAGAAGGTGTGGGAAAATACATAAAGTTTACAGGTGTAAAAATATCACCTAACATTTCTATGAAACTTCTCTAACGTTCTTTCTAGCTCTGGAAGTCTAAGAATCTTTAGGTCTATATCTAAGAATCAAACAGTCCTCTGGGCTCAAAGAAGGCTCTAAGATTTAAAGATTTTTTTTCAAATATGCCCATATGGCAGGCACAATACATAACTGAGCACCAGAAACACAAAGAAATATAATACATACAACATATCTTGATTTTTATACTGTTAAGACATTTATTTTGACCATAGCTCAATTTATTTTTGGGTTTGAGCTCACAGGCCAGTTACATTTTTCCAGATTATATTAAAGCAAGAAAATGTGTGCTACAGCAACTGAACTGTAGCAAAATATATAACAATGTATATAATGATAACAATAATGATAATAAATAGTATTTATATAGTAATTTAAATCCATAAATGATTTCATTTGATCCTTACAACAACCTTATGGTAGGTACTATTATTATCCCTACTTTCAAACAAAATTGAGACTGAGAGAAATCAGTGACATGGTCACACAGTAGGACTCAAACTCAGGTTTTTCTGAGTCCAAGTCCAACATTCTATCTATTGTATCAGCTAGCTACTCTAATAATGCAAATTTGGTGCTAAAATATCCAGAAAAACATGGATCATTACTGCAAATGGGTCTTAAAAAGGCAGAAACAGGCAAAATATCTAATGTCATTAACTAGTTCACCAAAAATAAAATACTGAGTATAACAATGTTAAAGGGTTACAATGTTATAGTTAATTCTATAAAAACAATCTTATAAATACCACAGATGGGCAATAATATGGTAAGTGAAGTTACACTTATTGACATTAGGCAAGATCTGGCCTGCTCTAATTTACAAAGTGCAGAAAGTGGTTTCCACAAACTTAGAGGAGAACTGAAGGCAGCAGTCAAGTTTTCCATAATTTTGCTTAATAGCATTGATTAGGTGGAACTGGAAATTCAAAATTAAGAAGACAGGCATAAAGAGTCTAATTACTCTATTCAGATTTGTCTTTCAAGTTTGTCATTAAGGATCACACAGATGAGTATAAACTAGAATAACTATCTACACATAAAGCACCTGAAGAAACTAAGTTAAACTCAAAGAAAATGCTACAGAGACAAGAAAGACCTAAACTAGACAAATATAAGAATACACTTCGTGAAAAGAACCTCTGAGAAAAGAAAAAAAATGAATCATTTCTGGTTTCACAGTTGTCAGTTACAAGAAACTGTAGATAAAATCTTTTTAAAATACATTTTATGGCTAGTACTTGTCCATACCACCTTCCTACAAAGTTATTCTTTATAACAAAGAATAAAACAGACAAGTTTAGCAAAACTCATCAACACAGCAGAGGAGTCTGATATCAAGTGTAGTGTACCACAGCCACAGGGCTCCTCTGCAAAGGGAAGGAGTTGTCTTCTGATTGCTCCTCTATGGGGCCAAGATTGACAACTGTAACTTTACAACATTCAGGGTTTTTTGGTTGTTCTTTCCATACACATGCACAGCCAGTATGAATATTGTTTTCTTGGTTATATCAATTCTTTTATATTGCCACTGCTTAGCACAGTGCCTACTGTAAGTAAGTGCTTAATAAAAGCTTGTTGATTAACTGATTACCTTTAGGTCAGTTCATGTCATTCTATACTTCTCTGTATTCATCACATTTGTTTCTTATAAAACAATAATAATCCGTTACATTCACGTATTTACTACAACTTGGTTAGCCATCTCTTAATCAGTAAGCATGTACTTTGTTTTCAGGTCTTTGCTATGGCAAAAATCTCTGCCATAGATATTTTGGGATATGTGAAGCTGTTCTTTTTTATCACTGATTTCCTTGATGTATATGCACTGCAGTGGAATCTCTGGGTCAAAGGATATGTACACTTTTTAGTAACTTCCTCATAATTCCAAATTTCTTTCCAACATGACTAAACTGGTTCTCAGTTATACCAACATATTAGCGTATTTGCTTTTCCAACATTGATTAATTCCACCTTTTTGGGCATCTCTATGGATATGAGATAGACTTGTTTTTGACTTACATTATCTTACCATTAGTGGTCTGGAGAACTTTTTCCTTAATAATTTGCAATTCTTTTTTTTGAGAACTGTTTGATCACATCCTTTAATCAATGAGATAAACTTTTAAGGGAAGAAGAGGTGAGGTAGTTTCAAAGACTCTTCAAAGCACCAACCTTATTGTTCCATGAAGAAAAAAGGTTGCAATTGAAAACAAACACATGGACAGTCAATACATTCTTTTCTGTAGATCACATGTGGTATGTATTTTCAGCCATTACAGAGAACCAGCAAAGATTGGTCAAAATCAGTAAACTGAAATACTGCTTTCTTACTGGTAAGGAATGAATCAACTGGTCCCAATAATGTCTGATAATCAGATAAGTCTGTCTTGGCAGACTGTGTAAAATAATTATTGCTTGTGCTCTTAGATGGTTTTCAATTAATAATTAATACCTTCAATTAATAATAATAAGCAGCACTGACATAGCTTTTGAAATATTGCAAAGTGTTTTAGAGATGCAATCTCATCTGAAACTCACAACAACGCAGGGCAGGGGAGGTGCTATGATCATCTCCATTTTTACAGATGAGGAAACTGGCTGAGAAAGGTAAAGCGATTTGTCCACTTAGTAAGTATCTGAGGCAGGAAATGAATTCAGTTCTTGACTCTCACTCTAACACTCTATTCACTTTGCCCCCTTAGGTATCTATTTTTGGGAGGATGTTATTTGAATAACTGGTCTTTGTTCCAATTAAGTTTACACACACTTCAAATATGAATTCCAGCCTAAAGAATCAATTTTCAGATATTTTCCCCACCAAATCCCTTGCCCGCCATATCTGTATTGAATCCATAGCTATTAGAGAAAAGAGGAAAACACAGGATGCTTGCAATTACACTTTAAAAATAAATGTTTTTAAAAGTATACATGGTTTATCTACATATACTTATACAGAAAACCATTTCAAACACCCATATAGAAAGGTTGGTGTTAACAAAAGATTTTAAAATATTGATTTATTTTCAGGCCAATAAGCAGAACCAACGAAATATTCTCATATAGGTCAGGGTGTGCATAAAGAAAAACTGAGTAGCTTATGGATATTCTCTTTCTCACTTAAGCACTTAATATACATATGTATAAATTTAATGATTTTTTTTAAGACAACAAAGAAAGGCCTTGGTGTTCCTGAATAAAAGAACCACTTCTTTCCAATCCAGAACACTAAACAAAAAAAATCTACAGTTTAAATGTCTTCTTGTTGGCTCCTGCCCCCTTCCCAATCTCTTAAAACATTTCATTTTCAGCTGCAACTACTATGTATAGAGAGTAATCCTATAGTATAATCTGACCTATCACATATGAGCTTAAAAAGGTTTACAGAGCTAGTATAAAGGAAAACACTTTTCAAAAGTAAGCCCTCACCATAACTGCTTTTATTTCCTGTACTGCATTTCTTTTATGAAGCCGGCTCTGCTTCAAGTTATGTCATACATCTCTGAGCCAGCTGTCTTTCAAGCTCTTGATTCTACTCAACAAGCATGCAACTCTTCACTATTAACTTTCTGCCTATTTGTCTCTCAAGCAGACACTTCCAGGTATTCAGTTCATTTGAGGCTTATGCTGGTCTGCCTTTAATCTATTCCAGTTTACCCACCATTGCTGGACTCTGTTGGGCAACTAAGGGCTGTCAGACTTGCTTGAGGTACAGCACTTGAGCAGGAACCACTTGCATTTCCTGTTCCTCGGATACCAGTCTCACTTTGGGAACGTTTTCTTTGTGTAGGAGCTTGCTGTTGATGTGTTAGCTATTTTTCAGACTCTCAAGGCCAGTTGCCTCACTAGTGTTTAAATCTGTCTTCTTGCCCTCTAAAGCTTACACACATGCTTCGTGCTACTTCCACTTTAAGATTAATTCATCTCTTCCAAAACTTTGAAATCTGATTCACTCAGTTGAGCCTTTTTGGGGAAAGGTCATTTCATCCATTATTTTGCTGTTTCTAGACAAGGCCACTGCTGCCATCAGTTTGTTACACAGACTGAAATGCTGATTTCTTTCAAGGACTGACTGACACACCATTTGAATCTGGGTCTGGGTGACCTCATTAATCTCAACCACTGGGCCTCCAAGCCCTGCTATCGCTCCTCCCCCCACTACAGAGAAAGGCTTTCCCTTTTATTTGCAGGTCTCTGTTACAAAATGATTCTGGAGGAAGAAATTCTCTTAGATGTCTTTTAAGAACATTTTGGGTTTTTTTAGTGCCAAAATAGTGTGGTACAATGGAAAAAGTACTAGCTTTAGAGTCAAAGAATATGGGTTCAAATCTCAACTCTGATGACCACTACCATCCATGTGACCTTAGGCAGGTCACATAAACCTCCTGGGCTTCAGCTTCCTCAACCATAAAATGATGGAATGGGGTCTGAGGTTTCTTCTAGATCTAGGACTATGATTCTCTAAGATCCTGACATCATGATTATGGGATAGGATCAGAAAGTTTGAAGTAACAATTACTGTTAATAATAAACATAACAACAATGATAGAGACAATGAATTGAATTTCAAGTCCCAAATCCCAGATAAAGAAAAGACAATAGCTATGTCCAATAAAAGTTTACTTATAGTGATCCTCACATGCATATTTGGTTCATTAAAACCCCAAAACTTGTTTCACAGGAATTAATTCAAGTCATATCTCCTCCATCCTTTAGCTGAAAAGAGATTTTTTAAATCTAAGTGTAATTGTATTTATTCCTATTAAATTTTATCTCTGAAGAATTAAAAATGATTATTACTCAAAGGACAATTGAGAGGCACATGTTAGGTAAGAACAGACTGTAACACATAACAAAGACCTAGAAAAAAGAAGGGATGACTGATGGACGGCCTGTGTGACATGCCAGTGTGACACGCCCACGTGACATACTGGCATCTGTGCAATGTTAAGAGAAAACAGGAAAGTCCTCTATGCCCCCCCATTATACCAGGTGATCTTACTGCATTAAACTTATGGGAATGCAGACAAGACTGGCCCAGGAGAGACAAGGATGGGTGAAATGTGATCTGTAGTCTTAGAAAGAACATCTACAGTAATGGGATTACAGATGCATCTGAGTCAATAGCCAACAGAGAGTTTTTTTGAGTCCTTTTTGATTCCACATGTTAACTATTTCTTCCATAGCTACCTTAATGTGGATCCCTGGGAAACCCCACTCTACACATTTCCCATGCAGACATATGGCTGCCCATTCCTACTGCTTCCTCATCTCAGACTAGATGAAAACCACCAAGGAATATCAAGGAAAATCAAAGATGTCTATGGTTTCAAAATCAGGGTGACTAGGGAAAACTGGTAGTACCATGGGCTCAATCATTATTATAAATACATAATATAAACTAAAAGAGAAGTAGCATAGCATTGTAAAAAGAAGGCCAGTCTTGGAGGAAGATCTGGGTTCCAATCTTATTCTAAACACAAACTGGCTGTATAATCATGGGCAGATAATCTAACTTCTCAGGGCCTCAGGTAACTTCCTAAGACTAAGTGACAGATGAACACTAATCTGCTCAGAGGAGGCAGTTTCCACTCAAGAATTCCCTACACATAAAACGGTAGCTCTAGACCTGTTGTCCTTCCCCCCAAATTAATATATCATACACATACAAACACACATATTCATATCAAAACATTGGTTATGTGAGCTTTCTGTTTGGATTCCAGATAAAGAAGAATTTCTCATAATATTTTTGCTACAATTAGAGTTTCAATTTACTTGAGGCAAAATTATTTAATCAAATGGGGTTGCTAGTACTAGAAACTTGTTAGGTAATAACTAAATAAAAGTATGGAATCAATGTACGTAAAAGATAAGCCTGATGCTAAATAATTTTTAAATGGTATTCAAAACACAGGCCTATTTTCAGTTTGAACACTTACCTTATTAAAATGGTCTCCAATCACTTGCCATATCCGTGACCACTGCAGTCTAATTCTATTCATATTATAGTATGAAATTTCCACAATTTTCTGCAAGCTGAACATGCGTGGATGATGAGGTGAAGCCAGCTCATCCATGGAAACAGCACACAGCCAGCGGACAAAGTCAACTATAGGCAAAAAAAATAAATAACCAAGTTAGCACCTTTCAGTTGCTTTCAAACTAGAAGCACTTGTAAGTTTTCTAGAAACTTAAATATACATACCTATTGCATTTCCATCCAGTCTAGTAGATCCAGTAAATATTCTGTGGAGCCAATTAAACATAAAATAAAATTTTATTTTATTTTATTTTTTACAACTTATGTAGTTTTTAAAATTAGAATTTGAAGGAATGGACTTAGAACAGCTCAATTTGGTAATTACCATAACAATAAATCATAATGCATACCCCACCGATACAAAACAGAAGGATGATTAAAATCAGTTGGCTGAAGGTATGTTTATAGGCAAAAAATGGCTAACTACTTATGAAAAGGGGAGAAAGGTAGCTAAAGCATGAAAGAATAGCTTTCCAATCTCCCTTGCCTGTAATTGAAAGGGGAAAATGGAAACTATAGAAGATGGAAGAATAAGTGATAATATTAAGCATGCTGATATGTTGAAAATAAACAGAATAAATTAAAATATAATAGAAGTGGAGTTTCAAAAGGTACCTTGTAATTAATATTAATTAGCTTTTGGCATTCAATATAGAATAGTGGGTAAGTGCCATGAATTAGATAATCAAAGAAAAAGTCAATGAAAGTCAATATGGAATCTACACGTACAAACTGGGAAATTTACCAAATGACTATATAATATTTCAGATTTATCTGTCTGCTCCATGCCAATTCTTTTTTTTTTCTTTTTACTAGGCAATTGGGGTTAAGTGACTTGCCCAGGGTCACACAGTTAGTACGTGTTGTGTGTTATGTGTGTCTAAGAACGCATTTGAACTCAGGTCCTCCTGACTTCAGGGCCCGAGCTCTATCCACTGCATCACCTAGCTGCCCCTCCATGCCAATTCTTGATGATAGTGAAAAGAAGGCTGGATTTGTAGTCAGAGGGCCTGGGTTCAAATCCTAGCTCTGTCACTTACTACCTGTAAGAACTTGGGCAAGTCACTTACCCATTACTAGCCTGTTTACATATTTGTAAAATAATGAGGTTAGACTACATAATCTCTTAAAGATCTTTCTAGCTCTAAATCCTATGATCTTATAAGTCAAATTATCAGAATTATCAGGTCATAGATTTAGCTATGAGAAGGGACCTGAGAGTTCATTTAGTTCAGGGGTTCTTAATCCGTTTTTGTGTTACAGACCCCTTTTGGCAATATGGACCCCTTCTCAGAATAATATTTTAAATGCATAAAATATATATAGGATTCCAAAAGAAAACAAAGGTAAATGAAAGTAAAGATGTAGCTTTTTTCCTCATCAAAGTTCATGGCTTCACTGAAATCTAACCCCAGGTTAAAAACCTTTTGATCTAATCAAAAACTCTTATTTTACAGATGAGGCAACTAAGGGTGTATAACCTATACCTTGGGCAGTGTCACATGGATAGTAACAGAACCATTTATTGTTCAGTTTACACCTTAAAATAATGGCAGGTCATGCAAGTTTGCAAAGAGATACAATCACTTCTAATTTGTCAAGGATTTCAGTGTGAAATTTTCTAAAGTGGTAGAGGTGACCAAAATAAAGGACTGAGCTGAGGGATAGCTATAGTTTGCACTATACATATTTATAATTTGGAAGAAAGAATGAGAAACTATTATTTTTGACACTGTCATCTCCTGATTATCCAGTTAAGACTTAGGTGCCTCTCTTTATCAAGTCTGAAGAGATTGCCTGGGCACTCTGTGAGGCAGGATCCTCATCAGGCTGGACTTGATGACTTCTAAGTGGCTCTTTTGGTGATGACATCGTAAGCTCAGGATGGCACAGCAGAAAAACACTGGCTTTGGGGAGTCAAAAGACCTGTTGGGCACAAGTTTGAGCTGTGACCGTAGCTAGTTCTGGGACCACAAGCCAAATCATTTCACCTGCCTGAGCTTTAGTTTTCTCATGTGCAAAACAGAGGTACTGGGAGGAAATGCTTTGTAAACTGAAAAGGACCACAGGAATGAGTTAGTATGTGTTTATGCTAAGGGAATGTGAGCTAGTCTTAATAGTGGCCTATGAAATAGAATTTAGCAGAGGCAATGTGGGATACTAGAAAGAGTGTTAGACTTGGAGTCTGGACAGAACTGAGTTTGAATCATGCCTGTGACACTTTGTGATGATGGGCAAGTCACTAAATCTCTTGGATTAGATTCCTCATCTGTAAAATGGGGGCAATATACCTGTAGCATCTAGTTTACAAAGTTATCACAAAGACCAAATGAAATACTGTATGGGAAGCATTTTACAAACCCTAAAGCACTCTATAAATGGCAGATGTTATCACTATTAAATCAACTTTTAGATCATCCATTAGATTATATAATTACAACTTCCTGATCAACAGTTGCTTCTTGGAACTCTTTCCCAAAAGAGCCTCTGGAACATCTTCCCATGGAGGATATACACAGAAATAATCCCAAACTCTCTTTTCCATCAAAAGACAAAACCATTACCTGTCTACAGCCACGACCACACTCTGAGAGCTTGTCTCACCAACTGATTCCTGAATGCTGGCCATCTGCCTTTTATCCACTCCACCACCAACTAAGTTACCTGAAACACGAAATATACATTTACATACATATATATAAATTCTATGCAAGATAAGTTAGTAACTTCATGATTCTGTGCTAAGGGAATATAAACTTATTCGAATATCAACCAGAGAAAAATATCATTTGATTAGCTAAAAAAAATAAAATGCAACCCCCCCCCCATCAAAGTATTTCAAAGGCAATATAGAGAATTTTAAAATTAAATTATTATTTTAATTCAAGAGTGAATTAATTCAAGAGAAGCAGCATGGAGCAATGGATAAAGAGATAGTCTCAGAGCCCAGAAAATCTGGGTTTAAGTCCTACATCTGACACATACTGGCTCTGTAACCCAGGGCAGGTCACTTAAGTCACTCAGTGTTCCAGACAATTCTTCAAAACTATAAATTTCAGATAAGGTGCCAACCTGCCTTGGTAGAGGGAGTTTCCATACCAGGAAGTTCCTTTTTGTTCCAATGACAGGCTAAGGCCAGTCCCTTATCCCTTTACTTCAAAATATATAAACCTTTAGAATAGAGTACCCCTGTTGCCCCAAACACAAAGAGACTAGTAAAATATATGCTAACATTAACTTGAGGCTCATCACCAGTGATGGGTTCTCCCGAACACTGTCCTTCCACCTCTTTTCATGCTATTTGATTCTAGTTTACTCCATTCAATGATTCTGATTCCTCCAGAGGGTCCCTCAGGTTATGCCACAGGTCATCTCATTAAGGATTAAGAGATGGAAGTTCAGCACACAGTTCATCTATGATGCTTCACTCTCACTACATGACTAGCCCACCTCCTCTGGTCACACATGTCCCTGATTATGTCTGATTCATGAAAAGGTAGAGGCAACTCGTAATAATTAAACTGAGTAACTTTGGTTAGCATTTAGGACCTCATATCCTCCCATTCTAAGAAGTACCTCTACTTTATAAAGAAAAGCCAATCTCCTTCCTCCCTACTCTAATTTCAGTAGTACTAAATACCAATTATTAAAAAGATAATTGGACTTGACCAATACAAACCTATAAATTACTAAAGCAGAAAGACAAATGACAGTTAAAAATATCTCAAATCAAAGTATCAAAAAACATGAACCATTATCATAAAACCTGCCATGTATGGCCCTCCTGAGATAAAAATTAAAAGTGCTTCTAACACTCAAGGCCACCTATTTTGGGCATGAAGAAAATATAGCTTTTTCCAATTTAGCAAATAGAATAAAAACTCAACCTGCTGATTTGTAAAAGACAAGCATTTGCTCAACAGTCAATCATGATCAAGGAAGCTGAAGTAGCACTTTCTTTTCTATTAAACAAAGAGGTAGGCATCACATGAGGAACAAATCATGACAGCAATGGCAAAATGATAAATGTTCTGTCTTGATTCGGTTGCAAATGTACACCCACAAGTTGTCAGGCTCATTTGTGTTACCTAATCCCAGGCCCATGAACTCTTCTCCAGCAGATGTATAGCCCTTCAGGCTACTTTCTCTTTCACGCCCAGATCCAGACAAGTATCGAGTCTTCACCCCAGTTCCTATCAGCTGAGCAAGCTCCAGTTGGCTAATACATTTCAAGATCTACCCAAAACAAGGATACATGGGAGAGTAAGAATCATAACATTAGAAGTTTGAAATAAAGCCCTTTTATTCTTCATTAAAATCTTTAATATAATTTCCCTCCTAGGACAGAAATAAATCTAGTTCTTAGGAACAGAATGACTTTGAAGATGGTTATCAAAACAATGGTATAAGAATGGTGAGGCCACAATGTGGTGGGGTTAAGAGGGCTGAACCTGGAGTTGAAGACCTGCATTTGGATTCTGTCTCCAGCACTTAACTGGCTGTGGGCAAATCCCAAGTTCTCTGTGCTTCAGTTTCTTGTTCTACAAATACGAATAACAGTTACACTAATCCTAAAAGCACTGTGTAACAAATGTTTACTTTGTGTGCCCATTTTGTGCTAAGCCCTGTATCCTCCTCACATGGAGGATACAAAAACAAAACATACAGTCCCCTTAATTCTGGAGGACAGTGTGGCAGGAGCTATTCTTAACAGCAGCAACAACAGAAGCTCACATTTACAGAGCATCATTTAGTTATAAGGCAATTGAAATACATCATATCAGGTGAACTTTAAAACAATCTTGAGAGAGGTAGCACAAATTTTCATTATCCCTACTTTACAGATGAAGGAACTAAAGCCCAGGAAGGTTCAGAGACTTGTCTAAAGTTTCCTACAGCTAGTAAGCGACTGGCCCTCAAGGCTGGGCAGCTCAACTCCTAGGACTCTTTTGACTCTCACCTAAATGTTAACTTAGGTATCATGTAATTATAATTAGCACAGAAAAGGAAATCTCCCTTTAGTTTCTATGCCAGTGGAGCTTTGGAACAGGCTTTGCCATTCCCAGACAATAGAGAGGCATTGGGAGTTCATATAGAGGACAATTTTCAAAGTAATTAGCCTATGCTAGGTGATGCAGTGGATAGAGTGCTGGGCTTGGAGTCAGAAGGACTCATCTTCCTGAGCTCACATCTGGCCTCAGACACTTCCTAGCTGTATGACTCTGGGCAAGTCACTTCACCCCGTTTGTCTCAGTTTCCTCATCTGTAAAATAAGCCAGAGAAGGAAATGGCAGATCTTTCCAGTATCTTTCCCAAGAAAACCCAAAATAGGGTCTTGAAGAGTGGGACACAACTGAAAAGATTTAACAACAACAAGTCCATGCAATAAGTTAGTGATTTGCAACCACTCTCCATATGAAAAATATAGACATACTCCACACCAATACCCACAAGGTCACACGCCTGTGACTCTGAAAGATCAGCACGCAGGTTTCCAGTTTACTCCCTAAAGGAAGAGTTCTGAGTTGGGCACTCACACTCAAGCCACCCAGGACCTCACAAGAGACTCCTACCTTTGGCAGTCTTTGGCCACTGCAAATGAAAAAAAACTCTAGAAAGAATTTTTAAAGCAGCATTTCCCAAAAGTGCTCTACCTGATATGAATATGGGTTCCATGAGAAAATTTATACTAGCATTATTTATCCCCTAAAACATTAAATATTAAAAATGTATTAAAATGCTTATTTGTTGATTTTTCAAATAAGAAAACAGACTCAATTTCCTCTCTTTTGTGCCAAAATTTCTCCAATACTCCTTTCTGTATTCCCAGGTCACCTGCACTAGCATTTTTTGGTTTCTGCTAATATATTTTAAGCTTGTGAGTGTCCTGTGACCAAATTAGTTTGAGAACTGCTACTTTTTGAAAGTATAGGCATGAAGGCAGACAGACAGTATTCTTAAGAAAACAGAATAGACCAAAAATAGTTTTAGGCTACTTAAATACAGGGAAATGTCAGGAGGTATTCTATAATGCCAAAAGGATCTAGAGAGACCTACCTCATGCCAGGAGTTTCCAAGGTAGTTGCCATCAGTATGAGCCACTGTGATAAGTGTTTTTATGGTATCGATGTTTTTCTGTTTCATCTCTGTAATACTGGAGCTAGCAGTCAACAGTGAGAAACGAGCAAGAGCTTGTACATAGGCATCTCGTTCCAGCTAAAACGGAAGAAAGAGAGAAGACACTTAATCCACCCTCAGTTATTCAGTAAATTAATTAGTATTTAAGCACAGACTATATGCCAAGTACTAAATCTGGGGACCCAGGAATAACAGGGAAGACAATTGTTGTTCAGTCATTTTCAGTCATGTCTGACTCTTTGTGACCCCATTTGGGGTTTTCCCTTTTTTTCTCCCTGGCCAAAGACAAGGTTTATTATAGATCCACCATACTGGCCAGACTCTTAAGGAATCTGAACATTTGTGAGCTACTGGCTAGATTATAAGAATCTGAGGGGCAGCTAGGTGGCGCAGTGGATAGAGCACTGGCCCTAAAGTCAAGAGGACCTGAGTTCAAATCCAGCCTCAGACCAAACACTTGATGTGTGCTAGCTGTGTGACCCTGGGCAAGTCACTTAACCCCAGTTGCCTAAAAAAAAAAAAAGAATTAAAAAAAAAAAGAATCTGAGAACCTCAGCACCTTATTGGAGACAAGATAGACCTTACAAAGAAAGACTGTGGGAGGGATCCTGGGAGGATCTTGATGGGGGTGGCCAGTAGGTTAGGCTGACTGGAGGATGGGTCTAGGGAGGATCTTGATGGGAGTGACTGGGAGGTCAAGAATGAGGTCTAGATATGGTCAAGTGTGGGAAGCAGCCAGGGCATTTGGGGTTTTCTTGGCAAAGATACTGGAGTGGTTTGCCATTTCCTTCTCCAGCTCATTCAGCACATGAGGAAACTGAGATAAACAGGGTTCAGTTCTCCCTGGACTCTGTATTCTAATAGGGGATTTTTGGAGTCACAATGTTTTAATCTCTAAGGCATAAACCTGTAACAGTCAAATTTTAGCCACTGTGGCAAGTTAACAGAGGAAATATTTTGGGGTAGGGAACATTTTTCAAATCGAACCTAGGTTGGTATTAAGCCAAATTCTGCTATCCTCCACTACAGTAAGGGTTCTTAACCTGAGGTCTACACGAATTTTTTTTTTAATTCTGATAACTATCATTCAATATTATTGTTTTTCTTTATAATCCTTTATAGTTCACTTGATGCACTCAAAAATCTTACAATGAGAAGGACCCCTAAGCTTTACAAGACCACCAGAGAGGTCCATCACAGAAGCAAGGAAAAGAATCACTGAATGAGATTGTGGTTAGCCAAGAAATTACTGTATAACTACATATGAACCAATCACAAACATAAACACATAAAAACAAGCTAGTCTATGACTCTCGGGGCATGGCTGAGACCGCTAAGGCAATAAAACCATTACAAATATTATTTTACAAATTTTCTGTGATTACAAGTCCCTAGATGTGAAGTCCAGAACCCCCCAGACCTCAAGAGACAGACTTACACACCTGCATTCCAAAGATACAAGCTATCCGGATTGCACATCTTATCCCTTCTAAGCACAGAGAGGCCACTTCAGTCTCATCACAGTTTTGAAGCCCAATGCTATATGCCGCCAACAGAGGAGTCCACACCAGCTGGTGCAAAGAAAAAGGTTATCTTTTAAAGTCATTTCAGTCATGTAACAACAGCCTTTCTAGAATGAGAAATTAGGAATAACCCACCCTTGACCCTCCTTTATTATGAAGGAAAACAATTTAGTAGAAACATCTGAAACCAAGACCATTATAACGATGAATAAAATATACTGCCTTAGTAGATTCCTGTCCCTCTGCTGTGAGGAGTGAGATTTTATTTCAATATGTGTTCTCCAGGTCCATTAACAGTTTTTCAATTACTCAGAGTTTTGCTTCCTTTCAGTGATTTCCCCCCCCACTTATACTTTATGGTCATTGGTATATTGTTACTTTGGTTCTGGGAACCTCTTCTTTTCTCTCTCTACACTATTACATTTAGCGATCTCCTCAACTCCTATGGATTCAAATATCAATTATTTTCAATTCAATTATCAATTATTCAGCTATTATGCTGGTGATTCTCAGATCTATTTGTCCAGCCCTAATCTCCCTCCTGGGTCAGGAGAGAGATCTTGTCTAGTCTAGCGCTGCACCTCAAGATATTAGTCATCTCAAAGTTGGTTATACCTTAGTCTCAATACGTCCAAAACTTAACTGAATATCTCTGCCCCACCTCCCCATCCATCACTCCCCATCCCCTATTCCAAATCATTATCTCTTCCTTATTTTCTTATTTCTATAAAGGAATCCACCATCGTCCCAGTCACTTGGGCATAGTTCCAATATTCCTTTCCCTCCTCTGACAATGGTACCACCCTGCTCTCATGACCTCATTCCTGGACTACTGCAATAGCTTTCTGGTTGGGATCAGTGCCTCAGTTCTTTCTCCACTTCAGTCAGCTGTCAAATTGATCTTCCTCAAGCACGGGTCTGATCATGTCATGTTCCTATTTAATAAATTACACTGCCTTCTATTACTTTTATTTTTTAAGAAATTGCTTTTCATTTTCAGTTCCAAATTCTCTTGGCTCTCATCCCTAACCACTGGGAAGACAAGGAAAACAAAATCCATTACAAATATGTATAGTCATGCAAAATAAATTCTTGCTTTAGCCATGTTGTTTTTTTTTTTAAGCAAGATAAAGAAAAAGAAAAAAATATCTTTCAATCTGTACCCTGAGTTCTTTGAAATTGTGGTGGATTATTGTGTTGATCAGAGTTTTACTAAGTATTTCAAAGTTGATTATTTTTACAATATTGGTATTAGCCTGTGTAAATTGTTTTCCTGGGTCTGTTCACTTTACATCAGATCATATATGCCTTCCTAGGTTTCTTTGAAACCACCCCTTCATCATTTCGTGGATAGCACAATAGTACTCTATCACATTGATATAATTTGTTCAGCCATTCCCCAATTGATGGGCATCCCCTCAGTTTCCAATTCCTTGACACAACAAAAAGAACTGTTATAAATATTTTGGTACATATGGGTCCTTTTACTTTTATTTCTTTGGAGTACAGGCTTCATAGAAGAATTGCTGGATCAAAGGATATGCACAGCTTTTTGGGCATAGTTCCAATAGTGTATTAGCATCCCTATTTTCCCACGTGATTTTCCTTTTCTGTTATTTTAGCCAATCTGATGTGTATAAAGTAGTGTCAGAGTTGTTTTACTTTGCATTTCTCTAATTATTAGTGATTTTGAGTATTTTTTATTCTTACTATTGATAATTTAGATTTCTTTAGTTACTCTGAAATCTGTTCATATCCCCAGGCCATTTATCAGTTAGGGATTACCTCTTATTTTTATAAATCTGGCTCAGTTCAGTATCTATTTAGATATGAGATCTTTATCAGAGCAACCAGAATCAAAGATCCCCCCACCTTCCCTGCTTTTCTTCTAATTTTGGTTGCACTGGCTTCATTTGTACAAAAACCTTTTTAATTTTAGGTAATCAAAATTACTCTCAACTCCTGTGAACCTCTCTATCTCTCATTTCATCATGAACTCTTTCTCTAGCTATATATCTGACAGGCAATTCCTTCCATACTCCATTAACTAGCTTATGACACCAACTTTGATGTCTAAAAAACATACTCCATTTTTTGGAACACAGTGTGAGATGCTGATCTATATATCTAGTGTCTGCCATATGCCTAAGCTTATACTTTCAATTTCTTTTTTGTTTTTAACCTTATTACTATATTAGCATTTCTATACAATACTACATAATAATGGTGACAATGGGTACCCTTGTTTCACTCCTGATCTTACTGGAAAGTCTTCTAGCTTGTTCCCATTACAGATAATGCTTGCTCTTGTTTGTAGATAGTGCCTATCATTTTAAGAAAAGATCCATTTATTCCTATGTTTTCTAGTGTTTTTAACATGAGTGGGTGTTGCATTTTGTCAAAAGCTTTTTTCTCCATCTACTGAGATAATCATATGATTTTATTTTTGTTATGATTAATTTTGCTTGTGGTTTTCCTAATACTGAATCAGCTCTGCATGCTTGGCATAAATCCAGCCTGGTTATACAGTATGATTTTTATGATATATTCTAATTTCTTTGTCAGTATTTTATTTTTAAAATCTGCATTAATATTTATTAGGGAAAATGGGCTATAGTTTTCTTTCTCGGTTTTGACTTTCAATGGTTTTTAAGTATCAAGACCTTATTTGTGTATGAAAGGAACTCCTTTGCATATTTTTTCAAACATTTGTGTAGTACTGGGATTAACTGTTCTTTAAATGTTGCTAGAATTCACTTGTAAATCCATCTGGTCCTGCGTTTTTTTGTCTTTGGAAGTACACGTATAAGTTCATTCAATTTCTTTTTGAAGATAGGATTATTTAAGTATTCTATTTCTTGTTCTATTAATCTGAGCAATTTATATCTTTGTAAAATTTCATCTGTTTTATTTAGATTAGTAGTATCAAACTCAAATAGAAACAAATGCCATGTATTTACTCAAAAAACCACAAATGAACATTATCTATGTTGCATTCTATTTTTAAAAAAATTTTGTTAAACATTTCCCAATTACATTTTAATCTGGTTCAGGCTGTGAGTTTCATATTTCTGATTTAGGTCATATGTTTTAATGGAATACAGTTGGGCAAAATTAATGCCTAATAACCTCTTTTATTTCTTTTTCATTTATTGTAAATTCCCTTTTTCCATTTTGATACTGACAATTTGCTGTTTTGGGTTTTTTTGGGGAGGGGCAGGGTGAGGCAATTGAAGTTAAATGACTTGACCAGGGTCACACAACTAGTAAGTGTCTGAGGCTGAATTTGAACCCAAGTCTTCCTGCCTGACTCCAAGCCCAACAACACTCTGTCCACTGCTCCACCTTGCTGCCCATTATTTAAGTTTTTTTTAAAGACAAATTAGCCGATGGCTTATCTATTTTACTCATTTTTTTTAGAGGTAATTGGGGTTAAGTGACTTGCCCAGGGTCACACAGCTACTAAGTGTCAAGTGTTTGGTCTGAGGCTGGATTTCCTCCTGATTTCAGGGCCGGTGCTCCAACCACTGCGCCACCTACCTTCTCCTATTTTACTGATTTTTAAAAACCAGCTCCTAGTTTTATTAGTTCAATGGTTTACTTCCAGTTTTGTTAATCTCTTCTTTGATTACCGAGATTTATATTTTGGTGTTTAATTGGGGTTTTTTAATTTGTTGGTTTTCCAAGGTTTTTTAGTCACACATCCAATTCACAGATCTGTTCTTTCTTTTACTGGTGTAAGTGTTTAAAGACAAAGTTTTCCCCTAACTACTGCTTTGGCTACATCTCACAAATTTTGTTATATTGTCTCATTGTTGTCATTATCTTTAATAATTACTGTTTTTATGATTTGTTCTTTGACCCACTAATTTAGTATTTTCATTTCCAATTAATTTTTCATCTATGCTTCAAAAGTCCTTTGTTGAATTTGTTTAGCACAGCACCTTCCACATATTAGGGACTTAATAAGTATCTACTGATTGAATGTAATTTTTATTGCAACATGGTCAGAAAAAGAGGAATTTAATATTTCTACTTTTCTGCATTGTTTTGAGATTTTTATGACCTAATATATAATCAATTTTTGTGAAGATGCCATACCAGTTAAAAAACAGGCATACATCCTTCTGTTCTCATTTAATATTCTTCAGGGGTCTATCAGACTACTTTTGTAAAATTCTAACCTCAGAGTTACATTTCTAGAACTTGTTTCTGTGCTAAAAACTCAGCTATACCCTCTGTTTGCTTGTAAACACTCCTGTCTGCTCTGGAACTATAATCTGAACTGGGTAACCAGCAACAGAGCTCTCAGATGGCATCCAATCCTGCTCCCAATACTTGTTCAGGGATCCTCTGGGATCTTGTCCTGATGTTCTGTCTTACTGCCCATTCTGTCCCTGACGCCACCACACTAAGCTACTGGCCCTTCCCTACTCCAGTGTCTGCGAACATCTTTATCTGTATTCCTAAGCTACCCTGGGCTGAAAAAATGATTCCCTGTGACTTTTTCTTGGCTTTCCTGATCAGAATTTGGTCTAGTACCTATTTAGGTTTTTGTGAAGGAGGTGTACTAGGTGAGGGAGGCAAAAATGCCTCCTCTTACTCTTCCATAGTGACTCTACCCCTCCTTCCTATTACTTCTGGGATTAAATAAAAATACTGTGGTTTTTAAAAGTCTTTTACAACCTGGTTCCTTCCTAATTTTTCAATCTTACACTTTACTCCCCTCTATGTATTCTATAATCCAGAGATATGAATCTCCTTGCTATTTCTCAAATGAGACACTCCCTCTTTCAATTCTCAGCATTTTCACTGGCTGGCCTCTGTCTTTCTTATTTCTGGGTCCTGAATTAATCGATTTCCTTCAAGTTTCAGTTAAAGTGCCATTTTCTGCAAGAAGCCTTTCCCAGTGCTCCTTAATCACTGTGCCTTCCCCTCTAAGATTATTTCCAATTTATCCTATAAATATCTTCTTTGCATGTTGTCTCTCCAATTAGATTGTGACCTCCTTTAGAGCACGGAATGTTGTTTTAAAAAAAATTTTTTTTAAATCCCCAGCGCCTAGCAGGCACTTGCTAAACGTCTGACTAATAAATGTTGACTGACTTGACTGTTTACTGGATGCTCAATGAGTTCGTACAAATTTTCTCATGTTTCTCTGAATTCTTTATGTTCATCATTTCTTACTGTATAAAACTGGTATTGTTATCCCCCATTTAGAAGTAATCTCTCCCTTATGAACTCAAAGCATTTTATATTTATCATGAATTTCCACATTCTTTTTGGCATATTTATTTGGTATACTTCTCATTTTCCTATACTAGTTGTTGAGGGGTAGGGGACTATTTGTTAATTTCTTTAATGACTCTCAGTACCCCGGATAGGGTCATCCATCTAAAAGGTGGTCAATAAGTACTTATAAACTCACCTGTGACAAGGTATAAACACTCCACCATTTTTTATCATTAAAAAGCAGTCGATCTTCATTTTACAGTGCTTGCTTCTCAGTGCTCTACGTCTGAACCAAACATCTATCCCCAATCAGATCATGCTCTCTTTAATTTCTATGCATTCATATAAGCCATTCCCCATGCTTGGAAAAGATGGTCTGTCTAGCTCTTGATCCCTTGCTTGGCTCAGGTCCAAGATACCTTCCTTGGTCCTACCAGTTAAAGGTGATCCATATCATGACACCTAATCCCTTATGCCTCTCTGTTTGACCTCTTCTGTACATTTCATTATTTCCTAGAGTCATACATATCTGTACTTTTATTTATTTCAAGGGTTGCAATGGACAAAAAAATTTCAGTCTTTTGATGCTAAGTTCTCTTTATTCAGCTAAGCTAGTTCCTCAGACAGCAGATACATAGTCACTGGGCCTATTCTCAAAATCTTTACAACTTTCTTGAACCTGTGAAAACATGTGCTCTACTATCATAGTTTTTGAGAAACTAAGGTCACTTTCATATCAGAATAAAGCATCATATCAGAATGACAGCATCCTGTTAGTGGAGGAAGTAGCTGTAACAAAGAATCCCCAGATCAAGAGTATTATAATTATTTGCAAATATAACTCATTTTCCTCCTTCAACCTCCTCCCATAAAATACTAATCCCCTTGAAAGTACCTCATTTCATCTCTGGATCTCCAGCACCTGATACAATAACTTGCACAAGGCAGATGCTTAACATATGTTGAATAGATTCAATAAGAATTTAATAAGCACTTACAATGTGCCAGGCACTATACTAGGCAGAAGGGACACAAATACAAAGAATAAGATGATCCCTACTCTCAAGGAGCTTTCATTCTATTTGGAGAGAAAAATATGTATACGTAAATATAGAGAATATATGCAAATAAATGTAAAGTAGTTTGGTAGGGAGGGAACACCTGGAAGGGGGAAAGTCAGGAACAAGTTCATAGAGGGCAATGCTGGAGCTGGGGGGTCTAGCGGAGAGGACATTCCAAGCCTAGGAGACAAACCATGCAAAAGTATGGAGATAAATGTAGTGCTGACTATGAAAAGTGGAAAGAGGCTAGCTTGGCCTGATTACAGAGCACAGGAGAGGAATTTATACACAATGAAGTTAGAAAAGATAGCCTGGGGCCAGGCTGTGAAGGACTTTAAAAGCAAAGAGAGGAAGCATTTCTACTCTGTCCTACAGACAATACACAATACAGAGCCCCTGGAGTTTGGATGGTGACGTGTGTCCGAGCTGTGCTTAAGGGAAATCATTTTGGGAACAGTGTTTAGGATGGATTAGACTAAAGAGAAACCTGAGGAAAGGAGGCCAATTAAAAAGCTGTTATAATTATAATAATATAGGTGAGAGGTTACAAGGGCCTGAACTAAGGGGAAGAAGTCAAATGTGAGAGATGTTACAGAGGTCAAAATGAGCAATGTTTAGCAACTGACTGGAGAGTGTGGAGAGAGGAGAGTGAGAAGCCGAGGACAACAGGGAGATTGGAATGGCGGTCCCTTTGAGAGGGAAGTTCAGAGGAAGGAAAGGGCTTTTGGGGGAAAAGATGATGAATTCTGTTTCGGATAAGATGAATGTGAGGTGTCTCCAGGACGTCCAGTGTGTCCAACAGACGTTAATGATAGGGGATGAACTCAGGAGAGAAAAGTCTACCTGGCTACATACACCCACATACATATACAAATGTGTGTCTGATTCATCTACATAGAAATGATAATTAAATGATGGCAGCTGATGACATCACTAAGGGAGAGTGAAGAAGAGGAGAAGAGAGCTCAGAACAGAGTTCTGGGAGTGTTATGGAAAGAAGCTGTGAGCAGTCAGACAAGTAAAAGGGGAACTAGAAGAGCACAGGATCATGAAAACCCAAAGGTGACAGCAGATACAGGAGAAGAGCAAGACTAACAATGTTAAATGCCCAGACAGATGGAGAAGGAAGAAGACTGAGAAAGGCCCCTGTATTTGGCAATTAAGAGGCCAGTAGTAACTGTGGAAAGAGAAGTTTCAGCTGTGTGATAAAGAAAGTCAAACTGCAAAAGACTGAGGAGTGAGAGGAGAGGAAGTAGAAGCAATGAGTACAGATAGTTTTTTTTCTTTTCTGAGAAAGAAGAGAGATATAGGATTAGGGACTAAGGTGATGGCAGATTCAAGTGACTGCTTTTTAAGGATGCGGGACTGGGCATGTTTGTAGCAGTAGGGAAAGAAGCAGCCAACAAGGAAAGGTTGAAGACTAGAGAACTGAATTAAATTAAATCAAGTCATTCCAAGTCCTGTACAGAAAAAATTATAGAGCCTTAGTCTTCCTCTTTAGGGGATTACTATCTTCTCATAATTTTTAACCTGCCTGATCATATCCTCGCTTCCAAATTCCTAAGTGATGCACAATCCTTCCTTGCTTAGCTTCTCAATGGACTTACCTTGAACATGGGCCTGACATGGTCCAGGTGTGTGGCACTTGTGAAAGGTGCTTTGGCATGACTCACAGCTTCCATCAAAGCTTTAGCAGTTTTGGCCATTTGTTCCATTTCCAAATTGTAAAGTAATCTCCTTTGTTTTTCACTGGCTACATCTGTGAAGATACACAGCAACAGGAGATTAATGTGTTCCCCAACTGACAAATGACCAAAGAATATAAACAGGCAGTTTTCAAAGAAAGAAATCAAAGCTATTGACAGCTATATGAAAAAAAAAGCTCCAAATCATTAGAAATTAGAGTAAAGCAACTCTGAAGTTGTATCTCAAATCCACAAGACTGGCAAAGATGACAAAAATTGAAAATGACACGCTGAAGGGACTTTGAGAAAACAGGTACATTAATGCATTGTTAGTGGAGCCAGCCATGGATCTGGGACCTATAGAAAGTAATTTGCAAATATACCCAGGTGGTCAAACACTATGTCCTTTAACCCAGCAAAATCACTACTAGGCACACACCCCAGAGAGATCAAAGAAAAATAGGATCCATACATAAAAAAAATTTGTAGTAGCTCTTTTTGAAGTGGTAAAGAAGGCTCATCAACTGAGGAATGGCCAAACAAATTATGGTATATGAATGTAATGTAATTTTATTGCACTCTAAGAAATGATGAAAGAGAGAATTTCAGAGAATCCTGGGTAGTATGAACTGATGTTCAGTGAATGAACAGAACCAAGAGAGCAGCTGAAGACCAACAACTCTGAGAGATTTAAGAATGAACGAAGCAATAACCAAGGACAATTCCAGAGGATACATGAAGAACCATGTTCCCTGACTCAAAATGTAGAATGTGACATACATTTTTAGTCAAGACCAATGTGGGAATTTGTTTTGTTTGACTTGGATTGTTTATTTTAAAAGTTTTTCTTTTTCTTTTTTCTTTTTCAATTTGGGAATAGGTGGTGAGGAGAGAAAATAAATACTTGTCAATTAAGGGGGGAAAAAAGATGAATCAATGGTCCACTGACTGGATTCTGGACCTTCCAAGAGGTAGAGTCAACCTGAAATTTGAGGGAAAGTTTTGAGTAAGAAACTAGGATTCTTTCTTTTCCTGTTTGGACTCCATTCAATAGTGTAATTTAATCCATAAACTTAGAACTGCTTTAAATTACTTCTGGTTGCTAATATCAAATCTGTCCTCAAAATACTATTATGAAAGAATTAGCATAATAACAATAATTATTTTAACATCAGATTTTCTATGGAAATGTATGGATATGGAAAATCACAATCTATAAAGCAGGCATTTATTTTTGCATTCTGAGAAAAATCAAAGCTGCGCGTGACAAAAATTTGCTCTTAGGCTTACTCTGCTTGTTAGATTTAGTAGCAATTGTGTGCTCTTTTGTCTCTTTCATTGCGATTTTTTTCCCTTCTATCTCTTCATAAATGGTGGAGAGGTATTCCTCTGGCAGATCTTTACTGTCATTGATGCCTCGATTCATTTTAATATATTGTTCTTTTGTCATTTTATTCTTTACCTGAAAAGAAAAGTTTTTAAAATTACTTTAAAAATGTGATAGTCCGATAAAAATTATACTCTACAAGATGAAAAGTATTAGCAAGTACTTTACCTGAGGACTGTGTAAATCTGTTGTGAGCATAATAATTGAATAAGCCAAGACATAAGCAGTGTCAGCACTAGCAAACATAGTTTGCCTGGAAGAAAAGATTAGAGACTTTAAGAATATCATTCATACTTGAGAAAAATCAGGCTGACTGCTTCATCTAACAGCAAATTAGTCAGAAATTTTACTATCTTTCCATCACTATTTAACATTTATTAAAGATGATGCATAGTATATAAGGTGCTGAATAAGCATAAGTATCAAAGTCTGGAATACTTTTTCTGAATAAAGCAGTTTACAATTAAACTACTCAGACTTTCTAATTCATTCAATCCATACACTATCCAACACAATCCATACACTATTCAACAATAAGAATGCAAGGGTAAAATTGAAAAAAATTCAACTTTCTTACTTAGTTTCAGCAAGTTCTTTGGAAATACTTAGCAAGTATTTTAGACTGAAGCAAAGCAATAGAGAATATATAATTTGAAAGAGTTAAGAAAATCTTTGGTTATTAAAATACTGAGGCTTACTAAAGTACCAAATTAATTAATAAAAGGCTCTATTGTATAATTTTAAGTCTGGGCCACAAATTTGCTGATTAAGGCACAGGCAGGGTCTTACTACCCACATGGGATATGTACTAAGAATGCAGGCACGTGAAATCTTTGAAGCAAATCAAGATTTCCACTAGGTTCAAATGACCTGACTGTTGTTGACTTTGCTGACTAGCTATTTCACAAGTACGGTTTTTCCAAATATTCAGCAGGTAATGGTAGCTTAAAATAAAAAGTGTGTATTTGGTATCATGATGGAAAGTAGCTATCAAAATGTTTCCACTGCATGTTTTCCACAGAGTTTTGACACATTTAGACACTCTTAAGAATTTAATACATGCCACACACATCTGTGAGAAAGAAAGTCTAGTCTACCTTGCCCCATGTATGAATATCATGAGAAATGATCATCTGGTATCTGCTTGAATAGCTCTGTTGATGACGAGATTGCTACCTCATAAGAAAGCCCTTTCCATTTCTGCAAGGCACTAGTTGGTTACAAAGTTCTTATGTTGAGCCAAGATTTGCTTTACATTAATTGCCAATCAGCACATAAAAGGAAAGAAAAATAAAAGTCCAAATAGCTTCCCAGATATTAATCAGGGAGCTAAAAATTTTCCTATTCTAGATACAATAAAAAATGGCCATTTCTCCTACCCATGGCTCTTAGGCATTGTCATTCAGCACAGATCTAGAAACATTAAGTCTATCTCCCTGCCCAAGAGGAAAATGAAAGAGACAAAGCCAAACAGAAAACTGCTTTAGAAAGTAGGTAATGGCTGTTACCCTTGGTTGCATTCAAGATATCTTGCAGCAAACTTCTCCATTAACCTATCAATCTTCTGAGCTTCACCAGGTAAGCGGAAACCTTCAAGAAATATTCGTAAAGCTGAGACAAAATCTTTCCCACAGAAATCAAGCTGATCCACGTAGGCATACATCACCTCCTTGTTGAGTCTGGTGCTCTCTCCCAGGAAGTCTCCTACTTGGGTCTGAAAGAAACATCCCACCAATGGACTCAGGAGTGAAATCTTAATTCAGAGGAGAGGCTAAGTGAAAGGGGCGCAGCACAGTCATCAAATTAGTGCTGACCCCTTCACAACTACTACTCATGCCCAATATTTGGAGGTCTGGTGTGGTATGTGAGCGATTGAGGACAGAATGGGCATATATAGCAGACAGAGGAAGAAGAGACACACCAAAAAAAGGAACATTAATCCTAGAAGGTCCAGAATGAGAAATAGTTAAGAGTTGCCCAAACCTTTGCAGCACAGACTAATTCTAGTCTCTCAACAACATGCTCCGATTTAACAACTTCTCTTATCTTTGACTCTCTCCCTAGAATGGTGCTCTCAAAAACTGCTCCCATCAGAAAGCTTGTGCTACAAAAGGCATGTATGTATATCATTGTGTTTTAATCATGTATATGGACAGTCAAGTCACCCTTTGCTGGGCCATTAATACTCTCTGAGCTTTCAGGAATCTCTTGTCTGAGTCTACAAAAAGGAAATGTGAAATTTTACAGAATCCAGGCGTTCTTCTTGGTGCAGAAACTGTGCAATATCTTCCACTGGAGTTCCAAGCATGCCCTGCTCCTGCAGATACTGGATGCCCCGCTTTGGCTTTTTGTTGAACCTAATCAAGGAATAAGGTAGCATCAGATGAATTCTGTGTAGATTTTTAAAAAATCTTCCTGCTCATCATTTTTTATAGCACAATAGTATTTCATTACATATTTCTTTTTTTTGGTGAGGCAACTGGGGTTAAGTGACTTGCCCAGAGTCACAAAGCTCATAAGTGTTATGTGTCTGAGGTCAGATTTGATCTCAGGTCCTCCTGACTCCAGGGCTGCTGCTCTACACACTGTGCCACCTAGCTGCCCTTATTTCATTACATTTTTATACAAAAACTTGTTCATCCATTTCCCACTTAATGGGCACCTCTTCAATTTCCAATTCTTTGCCTCCACAAAAAGAGCTGCTATAAATATTTTTGTACATGTAGGTCCTTTTCTTGTATTTATGATCTCATTTGGATATAGACCTAGTAGTGGTATTGCTGGATCAAAGGGTATACATAGTTTGATTGACCTTTGGGTATAATTCCAAATTTCTCTCCAGAATGGTTAGATCAGTTCACAATTTCACCAATAATGCATTAGTGCCCTCATTTTCCCATATCCTCTCCAACATTTATCATTTTCCTTTTCTGCTACATAAGGTACAGCAAATGATTTCTTGAACAGGTTGTTTATTTCTGAAATGTCTGAAGGACTGAAAAGGTGATGCCCACTTAGTAGTAGCAAATTATGATGGAACACACGAAGGAAAACTCAAACAAGACATTCCTGAAAGTTCAAAAAGCTGCCACAAATTGGCTATTTCAGTCTACAGATAAAAGTCACAGACTCCACTGTGCTTTTTTTCTGGGCTTATGCTTTTGCCTCCCTTACTATCCCCCTTTTAACTGTACTAAAAGAACTTTTTTTCTACGAACCTGACTTTTCAGGTTTACTGTGATCTGCCATGCTTCCTTTTATTTTGGTATTTATCAATCTTCCTGGAGGTATAACATCCAATCCCTCCTTGTCTGATTTTGCAAAATATCCTCCTCATCTGACTATTGTCAAGGGTGTAGTCTTTGTCAGAGAACAAATCACATTACTTTATTCTAGCAAAAATCCTGTCTAAGCCACAAAAAAGAGATCATGTCTTGTTCAGCAGACCAACACTTTCCAAAGCAAGCAAAAACTCTTGTGACTGGGTCATTTCTGATGGCTTATCTCAATACAGTAGGAGTAAATCACAGGTATCTAAAAGCACAATAACATACATGCAAGGCAGAATAAAAGAATGTGGGGGAAAGGGCAAGTGGTACAATACTGTCTCAGTAATAGCCAGTTTGTGAACTGACTGCTACGTGGTATCCAATAATCAAGTGCTACAATAATTGTAATTCTCTTGGTTTCTTGGGTAATTAGGATAAATTGAAAGGCCATACTGAGTAAAGGTTTTGCCCAGTTAAGTCTAATGGGCGTGAAAAGAATTTAGTCTAAACAAGGTAATTTGAGTGTCTTGGTAGCCTTAAGAATAACTTTTTCTTTCTTTTCTTTTTCTTCCTTCCTTCTCTCTCTCTCTCTCTCTCTCTCTCTCTCTCTCTCTCTCTCTCTCTCTTTCTGCATTTGGGATTAAGTGACTTGCCCAGGGTCACACAGCTAATGAGTGTTCTGTGTCCGAGGCCACATTTGAACTCAGATCCTCCTGACTCCAGGGCCGATGCTCGATCCACTGTGCCATCTAGCTGCCCCTAAGAATAACTTTCTCCCATTTCCATCTATCAGGATCTTGCTCATTCTTCAGAATCCAGATCAAATATCATTTCCTGAATGAATGCTTTCCTAAACCCCTGCTAGAAGACAATCTCATACATCCCCTAAAGCCACAGGATTTCGTTTCTCCTTTAGTACTTTGCCTTATATCAAGCTACTTTATGCACAGCTGAGGTTTTCCTATTAGAATATAAGCTCTCTTCAGGCAGGGATTATGTCTATATTTATTTTTGTATCCCCTTCACCACAAAAAATGCTTAGAACAGTGCTATGCACATATTGGGAACACAAACCAACAAATGCTGAATAGATGAACCGTGTGAATTCAGTTTAGAAAAACAAAGATAGGAAAAATGTGTGTATTATTTAATTTGGAGGAGGAAAAAAGGATTTTGCCTTAACTCTTGGTATTATTTACCTCTTCTTTAAGTGTACAGCAACACCCATTGACCAATGTTACTTTTAGACAACAGTAGCAACCTGATGAGCATAAAGGAAGCATGTCAGGGGCCACACTCACAGTTCTATTCCATGTTCGATGATTTCCTTTTGTTGCTTGATAACCTCAAACTGCTCGGGGTCATCTGGGACAGAGGTCTGGGTACCAACACTTCCAATCCCTGAGGACACAGTGGAGTCCAGGGAGCTTACACTACTCCTCCTCCTGATGTCAAGACCTTTGGGCTCTCCCAGGTCTTGATCTGTTGGTCTCTCCTGGCCTGTAATTAAACAAAAGAGCACAATTAATGTAAAGAGTTAAAAGGACACAAAACAACAATGAAACTAAGACAGTAGATTCCAATGTTCTTTTCACTCATCTCCTCCATTTTTTGACACATACATATGGCCAAGTTTTACTTATCTTTGAGGCAAGAGCTACAAACTAAGGTTTCTAGTGTAATTCTATAGTCTACATCACAAAAAAAAGTTTCTGGCTCATCTTAAACATTTCTGATGAGTAGTAGAAAGAAACAAAAACAAGACTCTCACCAAGACTTGTTTGATGGTTGGGGTTCACATACAGGTCTTTACTCCACTCCACCATGCATTTGAGTATAGACACTAAACATTCAAGGCCTTTCTTCCTCAGACTTAATTCCTAAGTGAGAAAAGAGATACAGGATTCATATCCAGGATAAAACTGAGTCACAAAACTTTACAGAGATATAAGGGAACACTGAGGTCATCTAGTCCAAATGCCTCAATTTACAGAGCAAGAAATGGAGCTCTAGGAAAGAAAAATGAAGCTGAGGCAGACACTGTTTGGAAAACCTGAGATGACACTGGATATGAATACTTCTATATTCCAAAAAAGACAAAAACAAGGGAAATGTTAACTAATGATATATTGTGGATGTTTTTAGGAGGAAACTGTTAAAATTCTTATAAAGTATATATTACATATATCTTAGCATCAGAATCCTAGAAAGAATATTTATCTAAAGTCAAGAACTGTAGAAGTTGAATGAATCATCTTGAGAGTTAAAAAGTTTCTTGTCACGTACTCCACATGTTGGCCTAGTAGGTTATACTCTTTATGTTTTAAATATCCACAAATATAGTTAAATAGATCCTGCATCATTCTACATTTTAAAAAAAAAGAACCAGGGACATTTCCTACAGAAATGAATATCGACTATAGAGAATTTATAAGGACTAGAAAATAAAATAAGCCTTTGACACCTAAAGAAAGTTTTTATGACTTCCTGTAGCTAATAGAATCATAGCTGTTAGAATATGAGAACCTTGTTTGGTAAGTGAAAGTGAGGGAATAGACTGATAGCCAGAGTGCTATATTATTACCCACAAAATATTTAAATACCCAAGAGAACCCCTCCTTTCCCCCATCCCCAACCACCAGGCACCAGGTAGATCATTTATCAAGGGATCATATAAAGACATGGACAAGAACTGCACGTGATAAGAAAGCAAGGATAGGTTATGATCTGTGAATGGGGGAAATGACTACAGCAATGACACCATGAAAACCTTGAAAATTGAGTCAAAGTAGTCATACTCAATGATAAAAGGATGGTGTGCATTTCTATCACATTCTGCATTTACAAATAAAGCATTAAACTGGTTTGTAGCAGTAAACCACTAGACATAGTCTTTGAAGGCCCCATCTTCACTAGCATCTAGCAAGGTAAACTGTATATGATAGGTTCTGAATGTGTGTTTACTGAGTAAATGATTACACAAGGCATCCTGACTCTTAAGTTCAAATGGAAAACACTGTGAGGGCCCAGATCCAAGTGCAGAAAAGAAACAGAATGAAGGCACCTTTATTGGAAGTCTAAAATTCTGACTTACTTTGATAAATCCATGATCATTTTAGCATCTGATCATAAATGTATAGCACAAATACTCTGGACTCAAAAGTTAATGAAAAATCAAAGTTTGCTAGAGAATGCACAAGAAGGACAGTCACTAGTGAAAAATAGTAGCAAAGAATTATTTAATGAACTGAGAATCTTCAGTATTGGGAAAAAAAAAGCCTAATAGAGGCTGGCAGTTTTTCAAAAGTAGAGTAATCAAGGTTCTGATCCCAGTTCTTCTATCTTGTAAGTAAAACTCACTTTCTTGCTTTTTTTAACTCTTACAAGTGGTAGTATGGCAGCAGACAAAGATAGTCACTAGAGTGCCATTTAAAAAGTCAGTCCAACAGCATCCTTGTACATGGGTTATAATGTGCTGGGTCCTGAACTTGCAAAGATTTTGCCACATATTCAATTTGTATTCACTGGAAGCAATTAAATACTTAGCAAAACACTAATAAATAATGACATTAAGTTATTTATTAAAATAATAAGACTAGCTTCTTTACTTAAACATAAATTTTTGCTCTTTTGTTTTTACTTAGCCTAAATTTTCATTTGTATCCTTCTGACACCTCCAGGTGTCAGAAAAATCCCCCTCAAAGAGAAGAGACTGATTTCTAATCTAACCTCTCAAACTATCATGTATGTGGTATGTATTTTAATAATTGTGTAAATCTGTATTGTGTCTATACTGGAAACTGGGATTTAGAGTTTTGAACTATATACCAAACCAGGTGACTCAGAATAGAGAGATCAGGGTTACTTCTTCTTCTCTCTGTGTTTTACCTGCAGAGGTGTCATTCCCAATTCATGTCCACTTCTTCCCTGAGCAATTTTCGACAAATCATTTACAAGGCGCTCAAAAATATTAGCAGCATTCAAATCACAGTCATAGTTGACATAAATATCCACCACACACTGGGCATCTTAAAGGATAAGACATAAAGATTAGGGTTTTTTCTTATAAAGGACAAAGGTGAAAATCCACAACTTTAACATTGAGCTTATTTTAATTTCTTGGAATAAATCTGAATCTGAACTCGTTCTCTATGTACAATTCCTTAGATGATGAAAAAAAGGCAATGGTTCAAAACAAAGTTAGTTCAGCCATTCTGACTCTTCATGACCCCATTTAGGGATTTCTTGGCAAAGATGCTGGAGTGGTTTTGCATTTCCTTCTCCAACTCATTTTACAGATGAGAAATTGAGGCAAACAGATAAGTGACTTGCTCAGGGTCACACAGTTAGCAAGTGTCTGAGGCTAGATGTGAACTCAGGAAGACAAGTCTTCTTAACTCTAGGCCCAGCACTCTATCCACTGTGCCACGTACCCAAAGCCAGTGGGGTATGCACTAAACTATCAGTCAAGAGACAGAAATTCTCATTTCAATCAATCACGAGTTTTTTTTCTTTTCAAAATTTGAATTTCAAATTCTCTCCCTCCCCCCCAACCCTGAGAAGGAAGGCAAGTGATATGATATCAATTATACATGTGAAATCATATAAAACATATTTCCATAGTAGTCATATTTCAAAAAAAAAAAGGAAGCAAAAAGAAAGTGAGCAAATTATACTTCAATTTACACTCTGAGTTCATCACTTCTCTCTCTGGGGGTTAATAGCATTTTTTCATCAAGAGTCTTTTGGAACTATCTTGGATCACTGTACTGATCAGTACTTCAGTTGATCCTCGTTTCAATATTGCTGTTATTGTGCATGTAAATCTTGCTATGTTTTTCTGAAATCACCATTCTTATCATTTCTTATAGTACAACAGTACTCTATCACAATTTTTTGCCACAAGTTCTTAATTCAGCCTTTGATGCCAACTGACGAGTATCCCCTCGATTTCCAATTCTTTGCTACCACAAAAAAAGCTGTTATAAATATTTTTGTACATATAGGTCCTTTTCTTTTGATACTAAACTAGTAGGGTTATGCTGGGTCAAAGGGTATGCATGGTCTTATAGTACTATGGGCATAGTTCCAAATTGTTTTCCAGAGAGTCTGGCCCAAGTCACAACTCTACCAACAGTTCATCAAAGTAACTATTTTTCCCTCATCCCCTCCAGCATTTGACAGGTATGTGGTAGTTCCTCAGAGTGGTTTTAATTTGCACTTCTCTAATCAATAGTGATTAGCAATTTAGTTTTTTTCATAAGAAAAAGACGAGCTTTGATTTCTTCTGAAAACTACCTGTTCATATCCTTTGGTCATTCATCAACTGGGAAGAGGCTCTTACTATTATAAATTTGACTCAGTTGTATACTCAGTATATATCTGAGAAATGAATTTTTTATTTGAGAAATCTGCTGTAAAATTTTTTTGATATTACTTCATTGGCTATGGTATTTTTTAGCAAGCTGTAGTTTTCCTGAACATCTCTTTTAATTGGGTCTATTTTTGCTTTATCTGAGATGACTGCTATCCCTGCCTTTTTTACTTCAACTGAAGAGTAACAGATTCTGTTTCAGCCCTTTCTTTTAACTCTGTGTCTTTCTGTTTCAAGTGTGTCTCTTGTAAACAATATATTATTGAATTCTGGTTTCTAATTCATCTGCTTCCATTTTCTGCGTAAGCGCATCTCATTCACATTCACAGTTAAGATTAAGTTAACTGTGTATTTCTCTCCATCCCATTATTTTCTTTCTTTTTTGATCCTGTCCCTCCTCAAAACCCTATTTTGCTTCTAACCACTGCCTCCCTTTTTACACCCTTTCCTTTGTCATCTCTCCTTTATCACCCCCCCTTGTCTTTTCTCTTTTCCCCCTCCCCTCCTATTTCCCCATTGGGTAAGTTACATTTCTACACACAACTGAGTATATATAAACACACACACACAGAGTCTTCCTTCTTTGCATTAATTTCAATGAGTAAAGTTCAAAAATTACCTGCCACCCATTTTCCCTTTTGTAAAAGCTCTTTCTTGAGCGCACTGTCTTTTATGTGATAAATTTCCCCATTTTAGCTCTCTGTCTTCCCACTTTTCCCAGTGCATCTCTTTCTCCCCTCCTCCCCATCTTTATTATTTTTGAAGATAATTCCAACATAATCAACTCACACCCACACTCTCTATGTACATACACTCCTTTAAACTGCCCTAATAATGATAAAATTCTTAGGAATTACATATATCATCTTTCCATATAGGGAAGTAAACCGTTTTAACTTTACTGAATCTCTTCTTGAGTCCTTTCACGTTTAACTTTGAGTCTTCAGTCTTCTGTTTAAATGTCAAATTTTCTATTCAGCTTTGGCCTTTTCATCAAGAATGGTTGAAATTCCTCTATTTCATTAAATATCCATTTTTTTCCCTAGAAGGATTGTATTCAATTTTGCTGGGTAGGTTAATCTTGGTTGCAATCCTAGCTCCTTTGCCTTCCATTATTCTTTTAATGTGGAAGCTGCTAAGTCTTGTGTGATCCTGACTGTCTCCACAATATCTGAATTGTTTCTGGCTGCCTGAAGTATTTCCTCTTTGACCTGAGAGCTCTGGAACTTGGCTATACTATTCTTGGGAGTTTTCATTTTGGAAACTCTTTCAGGAGGTGATTGGTAGATTCTTTTAATTTCTATTTTTCCCTCTGGATCTAAACTACCAACGCAGTTTTTCTTGATTATTTTCTTGATAATTTCTTGAAATACTGATGTCTAGGCTTTTTCCAGGTCAGTTATTTTTCCAATGAGATAGTTCATATTTTCTTTTATTTTTTTCATTCTTTTGACTTGTTTTATTGTTTTGATGTCTCGTGGAGTCATTAGCTTCCATTTGCCCAATGCTAATTTTTAAGGAATTATTTTCTTTAGTAAGATTTTTACACCTCTTTTTCCATCTGGACAATTCTGCTTTTTTTTCCCATTATATTTTCTACCTAAAAATAGACTTTGCCCAGTGCCAGCAAAAGGTTCCCTGTAATCTCCTTCTGAGCAGTTGTGTGAACCCTGCACTGTCTCTGGGCTAAGAGCTCCTAAAGCTGCTGCTGCTACTGTGGCCACTCTTGCTGGGGCCACACGCGGGCTCTGAATACATCTCCACCCCAGTGTTACAGACTTCTTCTGCCTTCCTCTTCATTTTCTTAGGCTGGAAAAATATCTCATCCCAACTTTTTATTCCTCTAATATGCCAGGCACTGAACTTGTAGTTGGAATACAAAGACAAAAGCAAAACACATCCTTATTCTCAAGGAGCTAAAAAGCAAGACAACAAGCACAAGAAGACATGAAACACATACAAAGACAGTCAAGAAGTGAGTCTGGAGAAGAAGATACTAGTTGCAGTAAGGCCTCATACATTCGAGCTAATTCTTTTTTTTGTTTGTTTGTTTGTTTCTTTTATAGTGAGGCCACTGGGTTAAGTGACTTGCCCAGGTTATACAACTAGTAAGTGTGAAGTGTGGAGGCTGAATCTGAACTCAGGTCCTCCTGACTCCAAGGCTGGAGCTCTATCCACTGTGCTGTTCCCATCTGAGCTAATTCTTGATTTCAAGAGATGGAGGGAGGAGAGAATGATCCCACAGATAGGGGACAGTTAGTGTAAAACCACATATATACATGGAAAAGCATAAGTCAGAAATAGCAAGAAGGCCAGTATGGCTAGAAGACAGAATTGTGTAAAAGAAAGTAATGTAAAGGAAGATTGGAAAAAAGCAAGTTAAGAGGAAAAGCTTGTGAGGAGCATCAAATGCCAAAACCGGCATTTAAACTGAACGCCTGTAGTACTAGGGAGTTACTCCCATTTACTAAGTAAGGAGGTGACATATTAAAGATTTGCGCTTTAGGAAAAATCACTTTTGGCAGATAATAGTGAGAAGAGATTTGAGGCAGGAAAATCAATTAAGACACTACTGTAATAGCCTGGGGGAAAGGTGATAATGGGTTGAAGTAGGATGGTGGTTGCGTGAATAGAGCATAAAGCAAAGGGGATGTATGAGACATATCGTCGATATCAAAACACAAAAAGGTTTGGTAATTGATTGGCTATGTGGGGTGAGTGAGAGTGAGGAGTCAAGTGTGGCTCTGGGGTCGTGCATATGAGTGATTAGAATGATGGTTTTCAACTTGATGAAAATATGGAAGTGATACCATCCATAACTGGATGATTTCAGGCAACTCCTTTAACCTATGTAAGCCCCAATTTCCTCATTCATAAAGTGCATAAGGGAAACTTCTGTTTTATCTACTTCAAAAAGTGGTAGTTTGAATGAGGTATAGTTTGTGAGAGTTTTACTAATCTAAAATATAGTACAACTCAAAGCTATTTACACACTGAAGAAAACAAGTTCACTTAAAAGGAAATACCTCCTCCAGGTCTCTCACCACGCTTTGTACCTCACTAAAGCCATCCCACTCTTTTGATCTACAGTAGCTGTACAGCAGCATTAGAGACAAGTCATATTTTGTCTCTGCCAAACAGTGATCTCCATAAAGGGAGAGGCAGCTTTACTGATTAGTGCAGTTACCCCAGTACCTAGCACAGAAATCATAGCGGATGTTTGATAAATGATAGCTGAATGAAATACCTGCACAAATCCTAGTCAGAGTCTGAATAACCATCCATTTGTGCTCAAAAGAACTTGTTGATGTTTCTAAAATGTTCAAGAAAATCTCTTTGAAAAATACCTGTATGAATGAAAACCAAAAGAAAAGCATTTAATAACAAGTAATAATTCAACACTCTGTATAATTCTACCCCCAAAAGACTCTTTCTTCTTCTGGAAATACAAAGTTCCTTCCAAATAGTCCTGGTTTTTAAGGCCCTAGTTTCTAATTGTGACATGAGCAGTTCAAACGCTATCAACTAATTAAACACAAAATTAAATGACTATACCTCAATCTGCATTTTCAAATGTGTCTTAAAGTTTGAAAGAAGCGTGAGAAAAATGGCAAGAGACAGCTCAAAAACATCAGGCACTGAAGAAACTCCATTTTTGGATAATGCAACACAGAGGTATTGCTTGATTGCATTGATGAACATTTCATGGGTCCTGAAGACAGGGCCAGCATTTTGCAACACTGAGAGAAGCAGCTGAAGGGAAACCACCTTTGAACGTAGCTCATGAGATCTGAAGAAAAAAACAAAATGTAGTCTTTAAAATATGGTTGCTCCTTAACTCCTTCTAACAAAAATATTTATTTGCCCTCTATGTCACTGAGGGTATCTTTAATTCAGCAGTCAGGAAGTTATGAGTTGGGCTTGATCCCTGACTTACTGTGCAACCTTGAGGCATAGTGAGGTAAAGCAGATCTAGTCTTGAGTATAGCTGCCTTCCCACCTACCAGCTAGAAAAATCTAAATGAAAAGCCCTCTTCATCAACACGATCAGCTCTGCTCTTCACTGGAGGAATCAAGTACCTTTCTTTAAAAAATTCTGAGAAAGTTTAGCTTCACTAGTTGTAGAAAAGGATAAGACTAAAGGCTCAAATATGAAGCCATAAGGAAATACTACAATAATTATAAAATGGTTCATAAACTGAAGACTTGGTGCTGAAATTTCCTGTGCAAGAAGCATCAAAATAGGATGACTGTTGCTTAATAACTTTCAATGTAGAAAACCATACATTGCTCCTGGAATGTGGTGGAGAAGATACATTCTGATAAACTTTCTTACTTGGGATCTGGGGGTCCTTCACCTAGTGGCTTCATGGAGAGCTTGCAGAGGGACCTGAACACTAGAAAGGCGTCTTTCTGAAGAATGTGAGAAAATTTAGCAGCCACTTGAGGTCCATGTGTATCTGATTCCTAATATTAAAGTAAAAGAAAACAAAAAACAGAATGAAGGCTTTGAAAAAATTGTAAAATTAGCAAATAAATTTACTTATTCAAAAGAGTTGAATACATCAAAGAACTTAATTATGCCCTTGAACTTGGACTTAAAGGGTGGGAGGAGTTACAGCAAGACTGAAAATAAAAACTGTGCTTGGTTCAAAAGTTTGTACCAACAGACTTACTAGCTGAATGACATTGGGCAAGTCATTTTACCCCAACTGTCTCCCCACCCCCACACTTTACTCCCCCCAAAACAGTTTGTACCAACAGGACTAAGCTTATTTTATAAACATAAACACAATCAATTCAGAAATTAGGCAAGGCAAAGCAACACTCCAATAATCTCAGATGTTAAAGCCCCTGGCTGTTTTTCTTAGGCCTTATCTTCCCCTCTAACTTTTAACACCACTGACCTTCCCCCTCATCCTGGATATTTTGTCCTCCCTTGCCTTGTGAGACACTGCTCTTTACTTCCATGTAGCTCCTTTCATTGGGTTATCATTCATCCCCCAGAAGCAAGCCAGAAGAGTTCCCAGGGGACTTTTTCTATCTCAACATTTTCTCCTCTGGTGGTCTCATTGATTTCCATGCATAAATTACTGTCTCTATGCAGTTAATTTCCAAATCCATACATCCAGCTCTAGTCTCTCTTTCCAGATACCCAATCCCATATCACCTGGCTGGTTGGCCATCCTCACCTGGATAACCCACGAATATCTCAAATTCAACATCAATATTTCAAATTCAACAAAGAGAATTATATTCCTTTAAACAGTTTCTCCTCTAAATTTGTCTATTTCTATTGAGAACACACCCATCCTTCTGGCTACCCAAGTTCACAATCTGAGTCACCCTGCAATCTTCCTCCTTCCTCACTTTTCCCATCCTATCAGTTGTCTAGTCTTACTGATATATTGCCATAATCCCTCTCAAATTCATAGGTCAGGTCCTCATCACTTCTCTCTCATGTGTACTGCTGCAAGAAACTATCTCCTTCTTATCTCCAGCACTGCCAGTTCATTCTCCCCAGAGGTGCCAAAGTTCACTCCTTTACTCAAAAATATTCAATGGCTCCCTGCTGGCTCTAGAATAAAGTACAAAAACTATTTATAGCAGCTCTTTTTGTGGTGGCAAAGAATTGGAAATTGAGGGAATGCTTATCAATTGAGGAATGGCTGAACAAGTTGTGGTATATGATTGTAACGGAATACTATTGTGCTACAAGAAATGATGAGCAGGCTCAGAAAAACCTGGAAAGACTAACAAGAACTGATGCTGAGTGAAGTAAGCAGAACCAAGAGAACACTGTACACAGTAACAGCAATATTGTAAGATGATCAACTACAAATGACTTAGCTATTCTCAGCAGTACAATAATTTAACACAATTCCAAAGGACTCATGATGAAAAATGGTATCCACATCCAGAGAAAGAAGTGATGGAGTCTGAATGCAGATCAAAGTATACTATTTTTCACTTTATTTTTTTCGTGTTTTCCCCCCTTTTGGTCTTCTTTCTTAACATGTTTAATATGGACATGTTTTATATGACTGCACATATATTACCTATATAAAATTGATTACCATCTTTGGGGGGGAGGTGAGGGATGGAGAAAATCTGGAGCTCAAAACTTCAAAAAAAAAAAGGTTAAAAATTGTCTTTATATATAATTGGGAAAAAATGAAATACTATTAAAAACAGAATAAAGTACCAACTCCTCATGAGTCTGGAATTTAAAAGCATTAACAATCTGGTTCCAACCTATCTAAATGTATTTTATATTTTTGCTTTCATATACTCTACTACAAAAAAAAAATTGGTCTTGGTTCAGGTGTTCCCTGAACTTGCGCATTCTACCTTTATATCTTTACATAGGCTGTCTGGAATGAGCTCCCTCATCTGTAACTCTTAGAAATCATAACTACTGGTAGGGTGTGCCTCCTAAATGAAGGCTTTCCTAAATTTCCCAGCTGTTATTGTTCTCTCCCTCCTCTATTTACTTGGTCTTTACTAACTGCTGCACTTGTGGTATATTTCAGTAGCATGTAAGGCCCTGTACAGAAACCATTTTCTTTTTTTATATCTTGGACACTTACACAGTGCCTTACACAGAGTGGAGACTTTCTAGGGGTTTAGAAAATGGAATCTAAACTACTAAACCTTGTAATTATTATTTGGCTGAAATTCAACTGGAGCTTGATGTTTATTTTTATTTCAATTTTATTTTGTATAAAAAAAGCTCACTTCAACTTAAAGGATCTGTGTATCTGATAAAGGTACTCCCTTCACCAACCCAGGGTATAAGCCATCCCAGTCTTAAAAGGTGGCTGTTGTGAGCATCTGGGGCTAAAAAAATATTTATCACCTGATGGTCAAGTGGCTCTACTGGTCTTTAGATTAGAGACATATAGCCTACCCCCAGACCTGTCCTCACAGTCTTTTCAACTTGATAGAGGCTGTTAAAGTTAGTGCCTGCATCAATGGGACCTTCAAGACCCCAACATCACCTCTGCTCTTGCAATGTCATGTCACATACGAACTACTTCAGACGAAGTTTCATTAAAAAAGGAATATAAAAATATTAAACTTGGCTATGCAAAATAGTTATCACCATATCAAAATCTCATACCAGATTATCAGCTGATGATAATGACTGCCTATCATCTGCAATTCCATTGGTTTGGGAGTTTTCATCAATTGCACTAGAAGTAAGGTCCTTGGTCTCCAATTCTCCCAGGACTCTCTCAGTTTCCAACATACCATGTTTTCCTGTGGCTTCTTAAAACAAGAATGCATAACACCACAAAATCAATATCTGCAATTGAAAAAAACCCTTTATCTAAAAGAGTTCACTACACAGAACCATTTTAAAGTTAAAAGGAATCAAAAAAAAACCTATCAAGAGCAGCCTTCTCAATATGCTGGGGTAAGGAAACTGAAGTTTAGAGTTTCAGGGTACAAAGAGGATTCGGTAGTCAAACGGGGACTAAAGGACTCCTTGTTACATAATCTACTAGCTTTATGCCCTCCCCACACCTATCACTATCAGTGACTGGCACCAGAAAACAGGAAAAACTCTGCAAGTGTTGCAATGAGAGGCACTTTATTGTCACAAATGGAAAGCATTCTAATACCCAATGACATCTTCTGACACTGTTAAAACAGCTGATGGCTAGATGTCTTATCATACAGGTGGTCCTCTCTCAAATGTTGGTGAGATCAAAGTTACTGAAAAACAAGTTTATAATTTTTGGGTTCCAAGGGAAAGGTTTTGCAACTTAACTGAAAAAAAAAAAAGAAAAGAAAAAAGCCCACCCACACTAACATGTATGTAAGACATTCATTTACCTTTTTTTTTTCCCATTTACCTTTAACAGCAGATGTTACTACATCTTCTAAGATGCCCTTCACCACTTCATGAGCTCCTTCAATAAGAGTTTCCTCAGAACCTACATGCCCAAAGATTTCCAGGAAAGATACAAGGGGGCAAAAAGGTAAAGGACATTATTGTTCCTTTTAAAGAAACTCCTTAGAAGATAAAATGGATCAAGTGCTACAGAGAATATCACTTAAAGCATATATCTACAAAATTCTATATCATTTGAATATACTGCCTCTGAAACCTAAACACCACTAAATCATATCTATTCATATCCTATTGAATTTCCCCTTTTCTGTGAGGTATGTGGGTGTATATATTTAAATCTCCATCCATCCATCCATCCATCCATCTATCTGTGGGGGTATCTACATAGACACACACCTTAAATTTTGCATGTTATAAATTTATAATGACTCGTACTGTGGGATATGGAGAAGTTATTTCATGACTATAGACGAGTTCTATTTTTCAAAAAGGAGAAGATGAATTCTTCAAATAGCCTTGTGAGTTTGACTTTCATTCCGAGCAAAATTCTAGAAATGTAATAAGTATGTTCTAGAAAATAAATACTTTTGCATTCATTCAACATACGATTAAGAATGATTTGTGAGTACTTAAGGGAAAACTGATATTATAAGACATAAGTGCAATTAACCAAGCAGTAAGCATTTATTAAGCACCTTCTGTAAATCAGACACTATACCAGATGCTGGGGGCACAATGACAAAAGGGAAAAGTCCCTGGCCTCAAAGAGCTTACATTTTAAAACAGGAGAGACAGCATATACATATACAGGTTTATACAAAACACACACAATGCAGATATAAGGTAAACTTTTAGGAGTTAAAGGTTAAAAACACTAGCAGACAGAAGGGACCAGGAAAAGTCTCATGGAAAAAGAAGACCTTGAGCTATCTTGAAGAAAATTAGCTTTAGAAAATCACCTGGGTCCAAATCCGGTCTCAGACCAGACACCTGACATTTACTAGTTATGTGACCCCGGCCAAGTCACTTAATCCCAACTGCCTGGCCAAAAGAAAAAAGAAAAAAAAAATCACTGTTGGACATGGGTGAATCAAGTGAGCTAAATTTCAGTATCAGCTCTGCCACTAATCAGAAGTAAAATTACTTCATTTCTCCAAATCTCAGTTATCTTACTACTAAAATAAGGAGACTGAGTTAACTCTAGCATTCTATTACTTAGGGACCATAAGATACTATTTGGGCAGGAAAAGGAAGCACAGTCACTTCTCAACATTCTTGAGTTTGATTTTCAAAACTGCAAGCATTTGCATGATTTTATTAGCAACTTCATTTTCACTTTCGAGTTGGCAAGTGCACACATTCACGGCTATGCACGGTAGAGGGGAAAAAAATGAGAAGTTCGATGCAGGCAAGGTTGTGGAACAGCTGGTATCCTAGGCACTTCACTGGTCTTGTTCACCCTACAGCTGCAAAGTGTAGTGTAAGTCCTCTGGGCTCTAAGGCCAAGTATGCAAAGTGAGTAATGCAGCTTAGTGAGAAAAATAAAGGTACTGGATAAACTTTGTGCCAGAATGTCTGCAGTCATTGTTGACTTCAAGTATGGTGTAAACAAATTATCAAATTGTTATATCTGCAAAAAGGAGGAAAATATTCATAAAAGCGTTCATGAATCCATTCCAGAAAGGGTATATTATCAGAATTCACTGTTTTGTTATAAAGAACTGTGTGCAGAAAAATGTATTTTCAGCAATCTCTAGCGAAAGATTACAATTTTTTGGAGTTTGCAGAAACCTAAACCTCTATTTCCCATAAGTTGAATGTATCAACATTCACATTTTTGACATTCACATCATCTTCTAGGCACTTTACCTGGCACAAAAGTTGAAAATTGACTGTAGTTTCGCAGAGACAAAAACGAAGATTCTTTAAAAGTCTTAATTTTAGGTCCAAATTTCACACAAGTGATCACAAAGAAAAACAAAATTTCCAAATACATAATTTTATGTTAACTTAATCCAAAACCATACATATCTACTTTTCATCCACTTCAAAATATTTATTATCTGGTATGTTCTTTAAATTGGGCAAAAAGAAATCAAGAATCCATGAATAAAGAAGTTGTCCAATTCAGAAGCCAGAGTAATAGTTGACAAGAATAGTGACCTTATTGACTCCCATTAATTTAATTACCATCTTCATGAACATGACTCCCAGATATATGTATTTTTTAGCCCTCATTTCTTTCCTGAGCTCCAGTCCCACATCAATAACTGCTTACTGAACATTTTGAACTAAATGTCCCATAGGCATCTCAAACTCAAAATGTCCAAAGAACTCGGGTCTCCCCTCCAAAAATTCACTTCTATATTTTGAGAACTTCTCTATTACTGTCAAGGACACTTAGCAGTTAGCACAGTGCCTGGCACACTGTAGGTACCTTATAGATGTTTTTTGACTGACTGACTGTCAGGTACCACTATCCTTCCATTAACACAGGTTTGCCCCCTTCGGTGTAATACTACACTCCTCACCTTCTCTCAATTCACATTATCTATTCAGTTGCCAAATCTTGTCATCTTTACCTCCATGACATCTCTCACATACATCTCTTTCTCTTCACACACACTACTTCATACACAGAACCTTACCTGTTCTTTCAGCCTTAAGTCTCTCTCCACTCCAATCCCTCGTCAGTGCCATCAAAATGATTTTCTTAATGTATCATTCTCCATCTCCACTCAAAAAACTTCAGTGGCCCTCTATTACCTCTTGCATCAAATATAAACTCCTCTGCTGGCCAATTAATGGAAAGCTGGACCCATCCTACCTCTCCAGTCTATTACAGATCAACTGTCACACATTCTAAAGTATAAACAAATCAGTCTTCTTGCTGTTACTCATGTATGATGCCCTAGCTCTTATCTCCATGCCTTTGCATTGGCTGTCCTTCATTCCTGGAATGGATTCCTCTTTTCACTTCTGCCTCTTGGAATTCCTGGCTTTCTTCATTACATACATGGAACCTTTCCCAGTTCTCCTAGAGGTTAGGGCTTTTCTCCAAAAAATAACAATGTGTGTATGTGTATATATATATATATATATATATGGGTGTATGTGCGTGTCTCCCATGAACAGAACATAAACTTCATGAGGTCAGGGACAGTCTTGCTTTCGTAATGCCAACATTTAACACATCTAGCATGTACTTAAATAAATGCTTTTGATTAAATGAAAAGAGAAAGGAGTCAAGAAGCATTCCAAGCACAGTTCAGACATCAAAAAAAGTTGGTGACTACAGCACACTAACTACATTAATAGTAATAACAGTTAAGATGTATAAACTGAAAAGTACTTTACATATATTATGTCCTTTGAGTCTCACAAAAATACTGGCAGGCAGACAGTACAAGTACAGTTATCCCTTCCACATCGTGATTTTCTCCATCATGGTTTTGATATATCAGGCTGGCCTAAGAAATTAAATGGGAATTTTCGGGGAGTTTTACAGAAGCTACAGATAACACAGAGCCTATGACCAAATACTTAACCTAAATTTTACAATAAGGTACTGTAAATACCCCATAAAAGAAAAAGAAAAAAATTCAGACTTGTTCTCTGGTACAAAGGGAGGGTCAAAAAATTTTATGTAGCTTTTCCAGATCATGGGGAATGCTGATCCCCTAACTCCCGAGATGTGGAAGGGATAACTGTACCATAACTCCCATTTTATAGATGAGGAAGCCATTGCTCAGAGGGGGAAGTGACTTGCCCAAAGTCACACAGCTAGTAAGTATCAAGAATCTGAGGCTGGATTTGAACTTGGGTCCTCCTGACGCCAAGTCCAGAGCTCTATCTAGTGCACCACCTAGCTGCCCAATAAAAGGGTCTTTTGATGCCAAGTACAATATTCTATGTACCATTCTGTCCTTCTGAGTTTTGTTCCCTGAGAAAGACAGGTGATACAATCACATGAAAAGAGCCGGGGACTCGAACTCAGGAGGCAGGGTTCAAGTTTTAGTTCTGTTACTTGTTACCAATATGACAACATTCAAATCACTTCCCCTCTTTGGGTCTAACTTTTCTTCTTTGTAAAATGAGGTTATGTTTAAAGGTCTCCAATGCTTACCAAATGAAGTGTGAATCCTAAACCTGACATTCCTGGTCTTTTATAATCTGATTTCAACATGTTCTGCTAGCCGTATGGACATGATATTATTCTAAGACCTGAGCCAGGGGAGAAGGGGAAGAGCAGAAGGCAAAAACAAGTGTGTCTCTGCCCTTGGAGGGCTTATATCCTGCTGCTGGGGCAGAAGATGTACACAGAGAAATGTAACTCAAAGTAAAGAGAATATGAGATATGGAAGCAAAAAAAAATACCCTAGGAAAAAAGAAAGTTGGGGAATGAAAGAGTACTAAGAACTAAGGGATATGAGGGAAGACTTGCATGATACAGAGTGAAGTAAAGCAAACTCAGGAAAACAGTTTACACAATGACAACAAAAAGGCTGAGGAAAACAACATTAAACGACTACAACAAAACTCTGGGCAGTGCAATGACCAATTGTGACTTCAAAGCCCTGACAGTAAAAGCATGCCTCTGGCCTCTAGGGAGACAGGCAGACTAAAGGTTCAAAATAACACATGTGTTATCAGGTATGATCAATGTGCTGATCTGTTTCACTTAACTATACTTCTTTGTTAAAAAGGAGGCCCCTATAGAGGCCGCTGGGAGCACAGTGCATAGGGTCCTGGGCCTGGAGTCAGGAAGACCTGAGTTCAAACCCAGTCTCAGACATGAGCCATATAACCTGAGGAAAATTACTTAACCTCTGTTTGCCTAGTTTTTCTCAACTACAAAACAAGGATAATAATATCACCTATTTCTTAGGCTGTTGCAAATGGGACAATATTGGTAAAGAGCTTAGCTTAGTACCTGGAACAAAGAAGGCATTATATAAATGCTGACTATTGTTATTTTAGAAAATAAATAGTCATTGGGAAATGAAAGCAATGTGAAAAAGTAGGGTTTTTAAAAAATTAAACTTAAATTTTTAAAAATCAGAAAGAAATATAAGCGTGAGTCAGATTACAGAGGGCCTTAAAATGTCTGGCTGAGGCACTAAGAGACAACAGGGAATCACGGAAGGTTTCTGAGCAGAGTAATGACTCAGATGTAGACATTAGGAAAATTATTTTGGCATGTCTGCTAAAGATGGACTGGAGAGGTCACATGGGGACTAGTTCGGGTGGGGGGGTAATAAGAACTTGAAATGAGAGAAAGGAGTGATTATGAGAAATACCAGGGAAGCAAAATCAACAGGAAATGGATTGAATATAGAAGAAAAGGGAGACTCATGCTTTGGGTGACAGAAGGATGATGGTTCCCACAACATAAATAAGGAAACTTACTGGAAGGGCAGGTTTAAGTAGAAAGATGAGGAATTACTTTAGACATATTGAGTTTGACATACCAGTAGGAAATATAAATAAAAATGATGTGTTATAGCCTATTTCAACCCCCCATGCCCCTCTACTTGCCTGCTATCCTATCTCATAGAAACAAGATACTCTAGTATATGACGCACTGAACAAAAACTCCTGAGTGAATGATAATCTGTTCATCGTACTCATGGCATGCTATAGAGTCTAGAACTAAATCAGAAATTCAGGGTACAAACTATAATTTTGACATCTTTGTTCTTTGTGAGCTCATGATCACCTACAGTGGGCCCATGGAATATGAGAATGTGTCTCAAGTTCAATCAAAGTCCTTAAGATTTAGCCATATCTTCAAAAACAGGCACAAAAGTCAACCACAAGGTAAGTCAAACTCATTTTCTGTCTTCCCGTTCTTCCTCCTTCATATCCCATCTACAATTCTCAAAGAATCCAAAGCACAGGTTGGAGAGTGGAATTGAAGGATATTCTCTGTAGCTAACTGAGGATTAAGAATGGCTGGAGACAGCTAGGGGTTGGGGTGGTGGGAAGTCGACCGTGTATGTGTGATTATTTAGTAAAAGAGACTAAGAAGGAATAGTCAGACAGGTAGGGGAATTAGGAGGGAATGTCTTGAAAACAAAGGGAACAAAAAGGAAGTGGTCAACAGTATCAAGACCTGCAAAGAAAAGAAGATGAGAGAGAATGTGACTCTTAGGGATAAGGGCCTGCTTTTCATGTCCTTGGCTTCCCCATGAATCACTGCCCTGAAACCCCCTCAGAAGCTAGGAAAACCAACACACATTAAACATGGGAATCTTTCCTGTACAAAAAAGGGGGAAACTAGGAAGCTATTTATGTGAGCTGCTATCTACTCCAACCTCCCAACCCAATCTACTAAGAGCTCTGTTGGCTGTAAGGAATATAATCTTCAATAAATTTCATTTGGATGTTAAAATTTTGTGTATGGATCTTTTTTTTCCTCCCCTAGCATGAATGCTGATTTATCACAGAATCACCTCTCTGGAGAAATGCCTGCCACCAAATGTAGGAATTAAAATGGGTAGGAGAACTTGATCAATTATTCTATTCATTTTAAGAAAAAAATCCTATGAACCTGACAAAAAGCACTGCTTCAAACTGGTGCCAAGAGGTATAACTGAGATGCCCAGTAGGGCACCAGAGATTTGGGATGGTAGCTCAGGAAAGAAATTAGAGCTATACAGACAAATTTCAAAATTATCAATGTAGAGATAATTGAAGCCATGGAAGCTAATGATATGATCCAAAGGAAGGAATCTGGAGAAAAAGAACAGAGAAGACCCAGGACTGAGCTGTGGGGGGGATATATACATTTAGGTGGCAGGAGATGGATAATTATCTAGCAAAGGAAACTAAAAAAAACAGGCAGATTGTTAAGAGAACTGTAAGTGAAAAGTATCATGAACGCCAAGGAAACAAAAAGCATCCAAGAGAAGGAAGTATTCAATAATATCAAGAAAGGCAGAGAGATCAACAAGGAAAGCTTAGATGTAGTATTTAAGAAATCACTACACACCTTTAAGAACTTAATTTGAGTAGAGAAATTGGAAAGGATTGAGAAATAAGTGCAAGGTACAATTCAACCATCCTCTCTATGAAATCACTGACTCCCTCAGATAAAGTATCACATTTGCCCCCAAACTTTTCATAAGCCTTCTGTATTACATTTATTTCTGTATATGCTTTATATCCTCCCCACTTATCAGATTATAAGATTCCTGACAACAAGGATTGTGTCATTTATCTGTGTGTGGCATAGTGACTTACACATTATAGGTGCTTTATAAATATTTCCCAATTGATCATCTAGGATTCTTCTAATATTTTAGGTTCCATGTCTGTGGAACCTAAACACAACCATGTTGTGTTCCCTCATGCCTCTAACTATGAAAAAGGGAAGGATGTTGAGAACAAGGTCCAACAAAGGAAGATCTATGGTGATATTTACCTGAATTCCAAGTGGTTTCACTCATTACTGTGATATCTCATTTTACATTCAAATACAAGATTTCTTTTCAATACAATCAGAAAGCAGACAACCTGGGATATACCTGACAAAGCAGGGCCTCCCTCTAGTTGAGCTTCTCCATTTTCTAGCCTCTCTTCATGAGAACCCCTCCGCTGGTGTTCACCATTCATTAAGTCACTTCTTTCAGGAGTTGATGTTTTGCTCGGTAGCTGGTTGTGCTTTAACCGGTTAAACTTTGGGGATCCTGCCACAGCCTGAAGCACAGGAGACTGGGGTTTGGGATGAGTTGCTTTTTCTAATTCTCTGGCCTCCTGTATCTAAAAGCCAAATAAGAGCAAGATTCAACCCAGATAATCCCTTCCTTCAAAAACCAGTTTGGAGGTTACATTCTTCCATGAAATCTCTACCAAATGAAGCACACGTGTAGCCTGACACACTTTCTCCCTTAATTATACTTTCTTCCTCATCTGAATTCAGAATTCTCTGCTCTTCTGCATTCATTCTAATTTGCATTCTATTGACAGTATAGTTCATCCAAAGTTTGGTGTCTAATGTATTTAAAGAGAATTAGAGATTGCATGCATGAAACAATGAGAAAAAAAGGAAAAGTAGATACTTAAGTTATCAACAGAAATAACAAAATGTAAGAGAAAATAAAACTTCCTCAACAATTCACAGACTTGCATTCCTCCAAATAAAACAAGTTTGCATGCAACATTCCAGAGTAAAGTGATGATGTGCTCTTAAGGAAAAGCAGGCAAAGAGCTCTGGACCGAAGTGGAGCCAGAAGACCCCAACCCTTGATTCCACCACCTACTAGTGATATAACCTTCAGCTTGGAACTTCATATCTTGGCCTCAGTAAAATGAGGATAACAACCTAGACCCCACCTTCCTCACCCAGGAATTGCAAAAAGAACACTTTGTAAATGTGAATTATTACTATGAAGACATTAAGGAAACATATCATAGCCTATCTTAAAGTTTCTTCTGACTGATAAAAACCAAAAAAGTTTTTAAGACAGTACAGAAAGCCAATACAGAAGATCCTTCCTCCTCCCCTACTTACATCAAGGTAATTTTCCACTTTCCTCATAAAACCCTTCCATTGATAACAGAAATAAGCAAAACAACTCAACACATTAGCCATGTCTAGAAATGTATGGCTAATTTTCCATCTGTGTTTCATCAGCAGAAGCAGAGGTATTTCTATAAGGGAGAAATGATAGTGGTGCAACACACGAGGCCTGGCCATGCACGCAGGCTAAAATCAAACATTTTGGGGGTCTGTTTACACACACCCTCAACCCCCAATTATGTAACTGAAATGACAACCTACCGCTTGGTTCTCCATTCGGGTAAAAATGACATTCAACATCTGAGTGAGAGTGGCCTTGGCAGTTGTCTGATTAATGAGATTTTTACTTGCCAGATAGATGTTGTAACATGTCCTAACTGTCTGAAGTATTGTGCCTTCATGAATTTCAATATGTGGGGAAGTCACTGCAGTAAGAAGTGCCTAAAACAGAAAAAACACACATTTTCCATTGATTTATATTTTGTGCCATGTACTGAGGGTCTCCCAAGGGTAAATCCATTTCCTTACCATTTTTAATTATTTTTGAGAAAAGCTTAAGAAAAAGATGGTTAAGCAAATTTTAAAAGTACAATATACCAAGAATGAACTGTTTTCAGTGATAGCATTTAATCTGTACTTATTAAATCCATTATGACAAATTTATTTAGAATTATAAATTAAAATTTAACTGAACTTAAAGACAGCTGAATTTCTGAACACAGTATTAAGTGTTAAACAAACCCTCTACCTAGAAGCTAAAATTCGACACAACTGAGCTAACCTATATTAATTATAAAATACGCACATCCCAGAGGAAGTCAGTTCCCCACTTTTCTACAATTGTTTCTTTAGTTTCTTGTTTAGGTTTACAACAGTGATTTTTAAACTTTTTGTGTGGCATGGACTCCTTTAATAATCTGGGGAAATTTATGGACTTCTCAGAATAATGTATAAAATATATAGGATTTCCAAGGAAACTAATTATATTGAAATACATTATCAAAATACTTTTTAAAAAACATGTTCAAACTTTTGAGGAGGGACAGGGTTAAAGGAGAGAACAGAAAAAAACAGGGGAGGACAGGATAGAGGGAAATATAGTTAGTCTTTCACAACATGATTATTATAGAAGTGTTTTGCATGACTGCACACGTATAACCTATATTGAATTGCTTGCCTTCTCAATGAAGGTGGGTGGGAGAGGGAAGAAGGGAGAGAATTTGGAACTCAAAGTTTTAAAAGTGAATGTTAAAAATTGTTTTTACATGCAACTGGGAAATAAGATTTCTAGGCAAAGGGGTATAGAAATATATCCTGCCCTACATGAAAATATAAGGAGAAGGGGAGGGGTAATAGAAAAGAGGGCAGATTGGGGGAAGGTGAGAGATGGGTAGAAAATCTGCAACTCAAAATCTTGTGGAAGTGAATGTTGAAAACTAAAAATTAATTAGATAATTAATTTTTAAAAATCCCCCCCAAAAAAACATGTTCAAGTCCTTTAAGTTGAAAATCCCTGCTTTAGAAGAAGTGTAACAGTTATCCTAGTACTAGACCTTTCCTTAAAGAGCAAAAAATTTAAGTGTTAAGATATGGAACTTCAGCATACCAATCTCTGAATCTATTTGCAATCAACCACAGTTGGTAATGTTGCATAACAAACTATTCTAGCAGTAAAAATGGAGGGTGGGAAAATGGGAAATTACTGATAAGTGCCCCTTGAGAAATGGTAGATTGGAAAGCTTTCTCAAGGGAAAAAGACAAGAGAAGCTGCCTCATAATCCTTAATTCATAGGCCAATTCTAACTTGTACTAGTGGGGCTATCAAGTTTTAAAACAAAACAAAAATTCTGGTTCTACTTTTCTCATTTAAATTACCTTCCCTTTTGAACCTTACATGGTAATGTTCTACACCTACATTTATAATTTAATATTGTGTATTATAATTATTCACATACATCATTTAATATAAATTCCATGAGGGCTGCTATGTCTTAGGTAAACTTTATATCTACCAGTCTAGTTTATTATTCTGCACACATGCTTAATAAATGTTGTTGAACAACTAAATTAAATTGCACACTAAGAAACTGTAATGTTTAACAATTTAAAGAGGGCAGTGGTTTAAGTAATACTGAATTCTTCTGTTTCCGTTCAGTGACTAATTTACTTTCTTCTAACTAAGCCAACTACGTGGTAAATTAAAAATGCAAACCTCCAAAGAAAACAGCACACTCACTTAAGAACCAGAGATAAACAAACAGAAAATAAATTCAGAAATAAATAAATAAATAATACCTTAATTATTTGTAATTGCACCCCTTCATCAGTCTGAGGGCCCTGGAAGCAATTGCAAACAGTTTCAACTATCCGGTCAATCAGGCGCTTTCCTGGGGCTCCACTGTCTGGAGCATTTCCAGTAATGTGCCCATATGCAATGAGTTTCTAAATGCAAAGAGAAGATACATACATATATACATATATATTAGAGAAGTTTCTTGTTTTCTAGATGGACACAGTGAAACACAGGACAACCAATATTCAAGGTCTTTAAATGAAATAGACTCCCAAGAACAAGACTAGAATCGTTACCTTATAAAATGCAGCAGCTCTGAGAAGATCAAGTCTGCCCTGTTTATGCCTGGATGACTAGAGTCTATTACCTTGATTACCAAGGTAATATTGCAACATATAAATTCATTATGAAAAATGCTAAATTTGCATCAGGAAATTATTTGTATAGAAGATGGTCTTTCAGAAATTGACTGCTTTTATCTGTAATACTTAGTCCTATAATGGCCTGGAGTTCTCCATGAAGGACTACAAAAAAGGTATTCTGCTTACTAATTCGTGTTTGTGACACTTTTCCACAGCCAACCCAATGAAGATAAATTTCTAACTCTATACAGTACACCACTGGACTGCAGCACCAAATTCAGATAAATGATAAACTACAAGGTACTGAAATTTCTTCTTAGCCCTTGCCCCTTTTAAAGTTGCAAAAACACCACCATTTGAGAAGAAGGATAATAGATTACTAAAGGGAAAACAGTAGAAAGTGAAACAGCTGGAAGAAGCAGTACTTTACCTTAGTAAGAGAAGAGAGTTCAAACAATGTACTACTCAACTCCAATCCACTGGGATCGCCACTCTCTTGATGTATGCATGTGTGTGTGTGTGTGTGTGTGTGTGTGTGTGTGCGTGTGTGTGTGTGTTAAAGGGAAGAATGACTTTCCAACTCTATCTGGACACTGGACTTCTGTTATTATAGCTTTAAAAAGCTAACTGCACCTTGGCTTCATTAATAGTGGTCCAGCATCCAGAATAAGGGAGATGATGCCACATCTGCCATCCACAGTACTGTCTGATTCTGGGCCCCCATACTTTAGCAAGGGTATTTACAAGCTGTAGTTCATCTAAAAGAAGGCAACTAAGATGTGTCAGAGCCTAGAAACAATGCCATCCAAGGATAAGTTAAAGGATTTAGGGACGATTAATTTGAAGAAAAGAAAACTTAGAGAAGGACATGATAATTGTCACATACATACACACATAAGATGATTCGTTAAACTTGCTCTGTTGGTTCTAGAGAGCAAACCAGGACCAGTGAGCAGAAAAATTATAAAGAGGCATGAGGATGAAAAACTTCTTTTCTAATGAAAAAAATTAAAACCCCAAAACGTAATGAACTGCCACTGCAGCACTGATTCCAGAACATCTCTCACCTACACCCCCTTCTTTCCATTCACCCTAGTGGTGAGTTGCCCGTTGCTGACAGTTTTTAAGCAGAGGCTTCATTCACAATACGGCGGATGGGATTCCTGTTTTATGTACCTGCCTTAGTATCCCCTCACTGGCTCATCACCCATATCACATTTTTTTTTTTTGGTGAGGCCTACACAGCTAGTAAGTATCAAGTGACTGAGACTGGATTTGAACTCAGGTCCTCCTGACTCCAGGGCCAGTGTGCTATCCATTGTGGCACCTAGCTGCCCTCCCCCATATCATACTTCTTAACTGTGGGTGGTCTCCAAGGCTGCCTTAGAACCTTTCTACTGCTCTATCTTTACTCTCAACTTCCTATCTCCATACCTTCGCACGTGTGGCCTGCATTCCCTCTTCACCTTCACCTTTTACAACCCCTAGTTTCCCTTCAAGGCTCAATTGAAATGCCACCTCCTATATGAAGTCTCTCCAAATCCCAGTAGCCAGTGCCCTCCCCTCAAAGTTAACATATAAATTTTGCATATACCTATAAATGTCTATTATGTCTCCTCTGGTGAGAATATAAGTTCCTTAAAGACTAGGACTGTCCGCGTCTCTATCACTGTATAATTGCTGGCCTATAGCAGGCACCTAAATCAATGTTTGCTGACTGTCTTAGTCTGGGTGTCCCCCTATCCCTGGTCAGCTCTAGGAGTCTTACATTCTCTTCAGTGTTAAAAATTTGCAAGCTTTGTAAAAAGGCAGTATTTGCTACACAGCTTAACAGAGGTAGCTCTTTACATACACAACAGTGAGATCTGATCTTAAGTCAGCTATTATTATTGCATTAAAATTTGTCTCCCTGTAACTTTTACCCATTAGCCCTAAAGTTATAGTAAAGCATCAATTCCTGCACTTAATTTTCTGGCCCTTCTCTGCTGACACCAGAGAACAAGTGGATAAAGGGCCAGCCTCTCAGCAGGTCTGGACATAAGATGATTACAGCCACAAAGAGAAGAATGCAAGTAAATTACCCTACAGAAGGCCTTTGGTACAACAAGCTATGCTAAGGCAAAAGCTGCAATGTCAGCTTGTCAAGGCAAAAGAGGCTTGGGTAGACTGCCTCCTCAGTTATCTCACCCACTGAGGAAACATCAGTTTCATCATTCTGTTTCTTGGTCAACTCTTTTGAATTTAAATATTTTTTTTAAAAATTAAGAAAAGCCAAAGATCCTTAGGAACAAAGACAGAGAAGACTGCTTCTACAATGAAGTCCATAGCTCAGACGACTCCTATTCAAGTGTGGATTGGACAGATGACCTGTAAGGTTCCTTTCAACTGAGTCTCTGTGATTCTATAAATAAGATCATGACTCAACCTTATGAAAGCATCTGGTAAAAAGATATTATAAAATAAAGGGTTTCTGGGGGAAAACGAAATCTTTCCTTTCTACTCCCAACACCACTACCCTAGTTCAGACCCTCATCATATCTTACCTGGAATACTACTACAATTCCCCAATAGTCTCCTGGCCTCTGAATTCTTCTCTGACTTTTCCTTCGTAAGTTACCAGATTCATCTTCCTAATCCACAGTATAAACACATTATCCCAGGACTAGAAAACCTTCAATGGCTCCCCTCTCCCTACTAAATTTCAAACTCCTTTAAGCTGCTTGCAATCTGAGTAAATCCAGAAATTGGTACTGCTGACTTTTCCCAGATTATCTCCCAATATTCCTTTCCATATTTACACTTCAGCTAAACAGTTTCTCCACCCTCCTGTCCCTGAAACTTTGCTTCCACTATCTATGTGGTAGAATGGAAAGAACACTGGAATGGGGAGTCTGGAAACCTAGGTTTCCATATGGTTCCAACAAGAATATGGACCATGGGGCAAGTCAATTAACTTCTTGAACCTCAGTTTTCTCATCGTTAAAATGAGGATAATACTTGTACCACCTACTCCACAGAGGTGTAAGGGGCAAAGTGTTTTATAAACCCTTAGGCACCATAGAAATTTGAGTTATTTTTGCTATGCGTGGAATGCCCTTTCCCCTGAGCTCTACCTGTTAATATTCTAACTGATTTTTCAAAAGCCAAATAAAGGAAAATTTTACCTTTAATCTGTATTCCTAGAAGTACCCAGTGTTTCTTCTGCCACAATCAATCATAAAAATGTTAGTCCCACAGAAAATAATATTTCGGATACTAACCAAAGAACTCGTGCGGATTATATATTCACAGAAGCCAAAAATCTATTCCATCTCCCTCACAAGTACCATACTCCAATGGCAAAAGAGCACTCAGGACTACTGCCAAAAGCCAGAAGATCAAGATGGTTGTTTGATCAACAAGATTATGTTTTCAAATCTATATCTCCAAATTAAAATTTTGTGGAGGTCACTCTTCTGCACCAGTGCCTTAGAAGATTTCTACAGAGATAAGCTGCTTCATACTGGATAAAAGATGAACTAAAGCATGGTACTAAAGAATTCTTCCCTTATTATAAGCTCATAAAGGGAACCACACAGCAAAAGAATTAAAATTTATGAATAAATTTTTGGACTCTGGTTTTCAGAGTTACTTTTTTGAAAACCTGCCACCAATTCTTACTTCTTACACATCTTAGAGACTCTCTTTCTAGAGTCACTCAGTTAATTTCTTTAAATATTGATACTTTGAAGACTGGTGATTTCTATCAGTATGGTTAGCCCCTCTACTAATTCAAACAGAAACTATTCTATGATTAGGTAGACAATCTTCACAAGTTATGCTTCTCTGAATTTCATTAGCTAGGCTAGTCTTCAGATAACAGACATCACTGCGACCATACCTGGGGCCTATCCAATTTGGTAGGACCTACTAGAGTTTATATTCTATTGGCATAACTTTCAGGAACTGACAGTCATCGCTACATCTTAAGAGGGCATTAAACTAGCACTTTTATGGAGGTTCTTTAGTATAATGATATTTATAAAGATGTGTGAGGGGCTTTTTGAGTCCTCAAAATTTTTTCCTTTATTGAACCTTTTTCCTTTGACTTTTTTTTTTAAAGTCGTTTGTCTAATAGAAGATTTGTGATCCTCTAAAGCTGACATAGTTCTTAGGAGATGTGAGTTCTAATCCTGGCTCTACCACTTCCTAGCTATGACCTTGAACAAGTCATTTAATGTTTCTAGGCCTTAGTTCTCTGATTTGTAAAATATACAAGTTCCTTCTAGCACTAAGATTCTATGAATCTACTTGAGATATAATGATCTTTAATATCATCAAGAAAGGAAATAAGAAATAAAAACTCTGTGTAGGTACACCAAATTTCTCCAAAAGTTCTTTTTTGGCCTAAGCTGTTACTTTAAATTTCTTCAAATTAATTATTTTTCAATTAACAAAAATTTTCTTTTCCTCCCACCATTCCCCACATGGGAGTGTGGGATGGGGGAGGGGTGGATATGGCACAAGAAAACTCTTGTAACAAACATGCGTGGTCAAGAAAAATCAAATTCCTGAACTGGTTTCGTTCTCTGGAATCATAGTCACTATTCTGATCAGAGTTCTTAATTTCTTCAAAGTTGTTTGTGTCACAATACTATTATTATTGTATATACTGTTTGCCTAGTTTTGCTCATTTTACTCTTCATTTAAGTCTTCCTTGTCTTCTCTGAACGTGATTTCTTAAAGCACAATAGTGATCCACTACACTAATATACCATAATTTACATTAACACATGATAGCCATTCCCTAGTTAATAGGCACCCCCTTAGTTTCCTAAAAGAGCTGCTTTGAATATTAGTGTACATGTGAGTTCTTTTCCTTTCTTTGTAATCTCTTTGTGGTACAGAACAAATAGTAGCAGAGATGATTTGTCACAGGGTATGCATAGTTGGATAACTTTCTGGGCATAGCTCCAAATTACTTTCTAGAATAACTAGATCAATTCAAAGTTACACCAACAGTGCACAGATGTCAAACACATGACCCACAACACTCCTGAGTGAGGCCTGAATCAGATTAAAAAGTAACTGAGAAATACCTGACAAAATAAATAAAATACAACAAAACACAGTTAATAATAATGTGTGGTTTTCTAAGTTAATATGCAGCCCGATATCCTTATGGTCTAGTGGCTTCCATTTCTATTTGAGTTAGACACCCTTGCACCAGAATAAGCTATTTTCCTGCAGCTATCCCAATCTCTATCATAGTGTATATTCTTCAATGATATACTGCTATAACCTACTTACTAATATTTTACTTGAAATTTTTATATCAATGTTCCATTGAGGGTTTTTGATTTACTGGTTTTCTTGGTTTTTAAAGTTGTTTACATAATTCACTGATCTGTTTTCTTTTATTAATGAAAATGTATAAAGATATGAATTTTCTCCTAATGACTACTTTGGCTGTACTCACTGTTATTTCTACAATCAGCACAATTGCTTGCACATAATAGGCACTCAAAAACACTTACTGACTTCTGATTTGATCCATTTTTTTAGGAAAAATTTGTCTTTAGTATTCAATTAATATGTATTCTTTGTTTCTCCAGCAGCCTTTTATTGAATAGAATTTTTATTGCGTGTGGTCCATAAAAGATGTGTTTAACATTTCTGTGGTTTATATACACAGCCACTTTGCGTCAAGATGACATAAACAGCTTACAAATATGTACACTCCTTCCTATTCCCATTCAATAATCCCCAGAAGTCTGTCATATTTAAATTTTCTAAAATTCTATTCATGTCCTTAACTTGTTTATTTTTTTAATATTATTAAATTTGTACAGGTCTGCACAGAGTCCCCTCACTATTATACTTTTATTATTTCTTCCTGTAATTTATTTAACTTTTTCTTTAAGTTCTTAGAAACTGTATCAGTTGGTGCATAGATTTGGCATTGATACTAATTTATCATTTATGGTACTCTTCTGTATAATGTAGTTTCTTTTTCTCTCTAATTTTAAAGTCCTTTTTTTCCTATAGCCTTGTCTGAGGTCATTATGGCCACTCTTGCCTTTTTCACTTTACCTGAAGCATAAAAGATTTTGCTCCAGCCCCTGACTTAAACTTACATGAACCTTTATGTTTCACATATGTTTCTTACAAACACAATGTTTGATTCTGATTTCTAATCCATTTTGCCATCCTCTTTTACTTCTATGAATCCATTCATATTCATTTATTATTATTAATTGTGGATTTCACTCCATTCTGTTCTCTTAAGTTTCCCTCCCTTTGTTTCATATTCTCTCTAGGAAGCTGAGGGTAGTAAGTACAATTGTGTTTAGCAACAGAGCTCTAGGTTTGATGCAATCATTTTGTTCCCGTAACTATCTACTCTTTCACTCATCCAGGGTCAAGGGACAGGTTCTTATCTTTTCACTCCTTTTAGAAATCTCTCTGAGGTTCATTCTCCATGGTTGCAGTTTGTTTTGCGTATGACCCATTCTTCCATTATTCTCTCCTCCCTAATAATACCTGTCTCTCCTGTTTCCCTGTTGAGTGAAATATATTTCTACATACAACTATATATGTGTATTCATCCATTTTTAAACTAGTTCAGATGAAGGTGTCACCCACTCCCCTCAAATTGTTCCCCTTATTTACATAGTTTTCCATTAACACACCCAGATTATATGACATAATTTCAATCCCTCTTTCTTCTCCCTCTTGTATATTCCTTCCCCTGCCCCTTTTCCTTTCTTCTTTTAAGATGATCAAAACCTAACAAAACCTCTCCCAGTTCATGTGTTTTATTTAACTCCCTCTATGAACTCTGATGATAAGGTTCTGAGGAAACACATGTACCACCACCCCCATTAGAATGCAAATATTTCATCCTTTTTGAGCTCTTTACTAATTTATCTTTTTATGTTCATCTTGACTCCTTTTTTATTTTTATTTCAAAGTTTCTATTCAGCTCTGATCTTTTTCATCAGGAATGCTTGGAAGTCCTCTTTATTTCATTAAGGATCCATTTTTCTCCTGCAGCCTTATATTGTTTTGCTATATAAACTATTTTTGGTTGTAAGCCTCTGTCTTTTGTCTTCTAGAATTCCAAGCTCTACAATCCTTCAGAGTTGTGGGGCTAAATCTTGTGCCACTCTCACTGTAAGATACAAAATACTTTAGTTCTTTCTAACTGCAGCATTTTTTTTCACCTGAAAGTTTTAGATTTGATCTATAATGGTCCTGAAGGTCTTCATTTTAAGGTTTAAGAGGCAATCAGTGGATTCTTTCTATTTTCCACTTTGCCCTTTGATTCTAAGAGATCCGGACAGTTTTCTTGAAATACGATGTGAAGCCTCTTTCATTGGTCATAGCCTTCAGGCAGTCTAAAAATTCTTAAATTATCTCCACTTGATATATTTTCCTTGTTAGTTATTTTTGAACTCCATTATCTTACATTTTCTTCTATTTATTCAGTCTTTCGATTTTGTTTTAATATTTTCTGATGTCTCATGGCATCACTTTTTGGTTCATTCTAATGTTCAAGAAGCCTGCTGCCTGGGTTAAGTTTTATAACTCTTGTCCTATGCTGTTAATTCTCTTCTCCAAGTCTTTCCTCCATAAACTTCACTTCTTTTCTGTTTCTTTCCTCTAGCACTCTCATTTCACTTATAAAATAACTTTAAAATTCTTTCCTAAACTCTTGCTTTATTTCTTCTAGGAATTCTAGTTAAACTACTGCCTACACTGTGTTTTTCTTTGATTTTCTTTGGTTTGAGATACTACTCTAGGGTATGTTGTACAGTGGATAGATCACCGGCCCTGGATTCAGGAGGACCTGAGTTCACATCCAACCTCAGACACATAACACTCCCTAGCTTTGTGACTCTGGGCAAGTCACTTAATTCAACTGCCTTACAAAAAAAGAAAAAGAAAAAGATTTGGTCTGTTGCGTTTCCTAGGGTTCTATGGAATAGATGTGAAGGAAAGCTGGGCTGTACTCCTTCCTCCTACTTCACCATTCTAGCTGATCTCTCTTCACTTAAAATCTAAAGACTATATCCATATCACCCTCAGCAGAAAAAAAACCCATTTATTTCTCTTTTACTTCCAAAATTATTCTGGGTACCCTTAATATTCTTATGCAATAGGTAATCTCTGTCTCTGAAACTTAAAATTTCTGTCCTTAAAAGTTCATGCTAGAGTCAAGTTTAAATACAATACCTGCAAGCAGTCTAGTGATGTACTGACCACCCGTGGAGATTTTGATTGACAGGCTAGTTCAAACGGAAGGAAATACTTGTCAGCCTCGATGAAGTTTGCTTTTGGTGGTGCGGCAGCCCCAGGTCTGGTTTAACAAAAGAAAGGGTAAAGAAGGAAGAAAATAAGAGTTGTAACCATATTTAGAACTACCCTTTCTAAAGGCAGTTTTCAAACTAAATATGACTACAAACTAGCATCTGTGACCCAGATAATTAAAAATTTAAACAAACCCCTGCATTAGGGAACACACAAGTATCACAAGCAGCAGGCAAGGTTCCTTTTTAGCTAATATAACTATCTTTCTATATTGAATCTTAGCATTTGTCATGGTTATACTGCTAGAAAGAGATGGACTAACATCATTATTAAGAAAGGATTTCCACATATGTAAGCTTTCTATATGCCTAAGGCAATATAACTCTGAGAAGACCAAGTCAGAAAAAGCTAAAATATTAGCATTAAGGTTATCCTGATTGTCCTCCAAGTTCAGTAACCTAATAACCCATTATTTGTATAGTAGTTACTACCCACCAAGTATTACGAAAAAAGTGTAAAGACTACTGTAAGATCTTCACTCTATTTTCCATATATGTGAGAAGCAGGGGAGAGAACTGAAGTGGGAGGCAGGGAGACATGGAGTTTATTTCCAGCTCTAGGACTAACTTGCTGTGTAACCTTGGACAAGTCACTTCTCCTACATAATTAACAACAGATAACAGCAGCTAAGCCCCATAGCTTACCTTTGCTTTTCTAGCTCTGCTTTAATTTCATCTAGGAAAGGAGGAGGGAAAAAAAAAGTAGTTACATTAGATATGTGCAGCAGACAATGTCCGACCTTTTTTTAGACTTAACTTAAAATTTTTACAATATGGGTTACAAGGAAGACAAGATTAAACAGACTGATGGTTGGTACTCTGTTTCAAGAAAGAATAAAGCTTAAGAAGACACCAAAATAGCACGGTTTTGTGTTTTTGGGTTTTTTTTAATCCACTACCAAGACATATGGGACTTTTTTCCCTTTAGAGAAATTTAATCTTAGATCTTAGGTTCTCTACACTTATCAAAACAGCAAACTGCAGAACATCATAACTATGTCATTCACAGAGCTAATGTCTGGCACCTAATCTAAAACAAACAAAAAAAACCACTTTTAAGCCATTAGTGTTTTAGATTCATGTGTCAATATTTCTTCACACAGTATCCTGATACTTGGGATGTTGTGATATTTCATTATCTTAGAATTCCAGAACACATATTTCTGGATACTCAGAACTATTTTTTGTTGTGAAATTGTGTACATGACTTGACCTCAGAACTCTGTAGAAAAACCTACACTTACCAGGAAAATGCAGATTGTGAACTTTTTGGTTTGTTCACATCGAAGCCAACTATCTACAGTTCTACACCATCCACAAAAGAGCTGACGAAATATCTGTACATACAACCAACATCAAACATTCTGCTGCTATATATGTAACTCATTACGTCTACTGCAAATGGATATAGATAATAACTTAAAGTCCTAAACCAAAGCCTTACGTGAACACAAGTGTATACGTTTTTTATGAGACAAGACTTAGCTTTGCCTCCCTTCTATTTTATCCTAGCAAGTAAGAGGAGACATGAGATTGTAGGAATGGTCAATAAGATCTGATACCATGAGGATAGCTAAGCTTTCAGAAATCTATACTCACAATGCCAAGACCCATTTGGATGATGAGATCATGTCACAGAGCAACATTAGTACCCAGTCTGGCAAAAATCAAGTGTACTAAGGTTTGCCTTTAGTTTTTGCATTCACTGGAATTTAATAAGGTGAGAATTCCTTGACCAGAAAGATAGCAGAATAGTTGCTTTCTACAAATTGCTCCAATTTCAAACCTCAAAGTAAAGGTACTTTGTGATGTGTTCATTATTATTATTTATTCTTTAACCATAAGATACAGAGAAATGAAGGAGTTTTTAAATTTTTTTTAACTTAGGGGAGTTTTAGCTGAAGTACCCTTATAAGCTATTTTCTTAACACATCACATATTTCCTATCATTGGAACTCCTTCATGAAAATAATTAGAGTTGAGTTGGGTTCAGAATCTATAAAGACAGAAAACCAGTACAAGGTAAATGCATCATGAAATAACATGAAAGAATTCTAATATAAAGAGCTTCCATTCAGTACTTCCACACCCAATCCATATACCTAGCACAGGTTTACAAGCAGAGGTAAATTCACAGATCTTTATCTCAGGGTTAGATATAGGCATCCTGAACCCTGAGTCAACCCAACAGGTGGCACACATTCATTTCCCAATCCCATAAAAGAAAGGGACAATGGAGGAACAAAGGGGAAGGGAGAGTGGAGAGGAATAGAAGACTCAAACAGACAAAAAGCATCAGTGCTGAGCACCACAGGCTAGAGGGAAATAAGTATCAAGTTTGTGAGAAAGGTGACTGAAACCTGGCTGAGGCTAGTCTTTCTTCACCCCAGATTATTCAGGGCAGAGAACCCAGACTAGTACATCAGGATATTCTCCAAAGAAATGAAAGTACAGCCGGCACCTCAGCTTTATGGATCTATGCAGCAACTGAAGGGGGAAGGATCAAAGAGTGAAGAGCAGTCTCAGATGCAAGTGATGGGAAATACCAGCTAAAAGACCAAAAGATCAAGAGAAAAAGCATAAAATAAAAACTTAGCCCAAGTGGATAAACCAACAGGAAGAAAGTAAAACATAAGGAAGAATAAGTAAAACCTTAAGAGAAACGATAGCACTTTGAACAAGTATTATAATATGAAAAAAAATGGCTCAATACTATCTAATGGAAGGGAATCCTCCCGGCTTCTCAGAAATCACACAACAGCAAGAAATTGCACAATGATTCAAAAAAGATAAACAAAACTCTTAAAACAGGGGATCTTAACTTTTCTTTTATTTAATTTATTTATTTTTGGGTGAGGCATTTGGGGTTAAGTGACTTGCCCAGAGTCACACAGCTAGTGAATGTTATGTGTCTGGGGCTGGATTTGAGCTCAGGTCCTCCTGACCCCAGGGCCAGGGCTCTATCCACTGTGCCACCTAACTGCCCCGGATCTTAACTTTTTTGGTGGGCTGTGGATCTATTTGATAGTCTAATGAAGCCAATGGACCCCTGTCTTGGATGCTTCTAAATGGATAAAATAAAATACATAGTAAACTACTGGTTTACAAAGTAAATCAATAAAATAATTGTGATGGCAATAATAATTAGCATTCATATAGCACTTCACATATTATCTTATATGATCCTTAACAATATCTTGCTGATAGGTGTTATTATTATCTCCATTTTACAGATGGGGTAATCCATTATACCGAAATAGTTATTAAAAAAAAGTTTTTCTAAAAAGTTCTTGGACCTAGGTTAAGAACTTGTCTTAAAAGAGGAAACCAGTGGGGCAGCTAGGTGGTTCAGTGGATACAGCACTGGCCCTGAAGTCAGGAGGACCTGAGTTCAAATCTGGCCTCAGACCAAACACTTGACACTTATTAGCTGTGTGACCCTGGAAAAGTCACTTAACCCCAACCGCTTTAAAAAAAAAAAAAGGAAACCAGTAATGAATTTGGGCTGGAAATCAGTGTTCTCAATGAAGAATTTAAAAATATCACAGCAGGAAAAACTGAATACATGATGGAAAATTTCTCCAAAAGTTTTCATCTCTGAGAGAGAGGGCATAACAGATTTGAGGCACAAAAATACGAAAATGTCAACATTAAACAAACAAACACACATACATACATACACACACACACACACACAGACACACACACACACACACACACAGAGATGGGCAGCTAAGTGGCATAGTAGATAGAGCACCGGCCCTGAATTCAGGAGGACCTGAGTTCAAATCCGACCTCAGACCAAACACGTGACACTTATTAGCTGTGTCACCCTGGGCAAGTCACTTAACCCCAACTGCCTAAAAATAAATTTTAAAAATAAAAATAAATATATACACACACACACACATAAATATATATATAAATATAAAACTTCTAGACAAGCCAAAGCAATGGACCTTACAGACTGGATACAAAGAGATAATTTAAAGATTATAGATCTCCCAAAAGATGACAAAAAAGTCCAAATATCACAATTCAGGAAATAACATAAAACTGTTCAGAACAAACTCTGAATACAAAGCAATGATTAAGAGAATTCACATTGCTGCCAGGAAACAAACAAACAAGCAAAAAAAAGCTCCCTCTTCAAACTTCAAAGCAGAGTGGTTAAATTTCTCAATTTTCAAATCAAACAATAAATGTAATCAGTCAAGAAAATGCCATTCAAATAAGAAATGGCAATGTGAATAATACAGGATTATTCCATATGCATAAGAAATCAGAGGACAGAACAGAAGTAGATATTCCTTAGTCCACTAGGGATAGGAAGAAAACGGACTAAGCCGATGACTGAGTAATTTAGGCGAAGATGGAAACACAGCTCATAGGATCCTCAGTTCTGATGTTCAACCATCATATTCAAATCACAATGATCAATGAGAGATTTGGATACGAAGACTAAATAAATTCCATTTCCTTGCTATTTCCAATGTCTAAACTGGTTTTCTGATCTCTAAGGCTATTTATATCCCTTAAAGTTACTGATGATTAAGTAATTAATTAGAAGTACTTCTTAAACACTTGTTTGTTTATATAAAATTCTTTCCCCAGCCCCAACATAAGGATGGGGGTGAGGGTGGAGGATAATGGGAAGAAACAAGCATTTATATAGCACCCATTATGGGCCAGAAAATGTGCTAAGCAGTTTAGAAATATTTTCTCTTTTGATCTTTACAATAACCCTGCAAGGTAGGTGCTATTATTATCCTCATCTTACAGTGGAGAAAACTGAGGCAAAGAGAGGTTAAGTGACTTAACTGGGATCACACAGCTAGTAAGGATCTGAACCCTGATTTGAACTTGGGCCTTCCTGACCCCAAACACAGTAACACCTAATATAGCACTGTCCTAAGCACTTTATAATTATTATCTCATCTAATCCGCATAACAACTCTGGGAGTTGGTGCTATTATTATCCCCATTTTGCAGGTAAGGAAACTGAGATAAACAGAGGTTTCAGTGACATTCCTAGGGTCACACAGCTTGTTAAGTATCTGAGATTTAATCTGAACTCAAGTCTTCCTGAATTGGAGCTCAGTGCTCTATCCATTGTACCACCTACCTGTGAGTAAAATATATGTAATAAAACAGGGGTCAAATGTTTATATTTGCTCTGTAATACTATCAAAGAAAAACTTAAGCAATTTAGGAATTTAATTAATAAACTTGAGTTGCTTATAAAGTAGCAGCAGCTTTGGAAACTAAGGAATATTTTAAAGTTTTATAGTTACTTGTGGTTTTTATACCACAGTCATTTCCTGACATGCCCCTACCACTGAGCCCTCCTTCATAACACAGAAAATGAGTGAAGTTAAAACAGACAGAAAGACCATAATGGTTTATGCTTCCACACCCATAAGCCACCGTCTCTCTACCAAGAGGAAGGTCTGTTCCATCATTAAAAAGGATGCATTTTTATGCTGAGTGAAGTAATCACCAACAGAAGAACAATGACTACAATAACATAAACGAAAACCCTGAAAGGAAGACAAGCTGAGTAATTATAATAACCATTCTTAGTTCCAGAGAACAGAAAACAGAAAACAGAAAACATACCTCCCTAATTCTGGCACAGACAAAGGATGATAGGGGCAGGATGCTGTATAAACTGTC